TAGGGTCGAGCCGACCCATTCGTGCTACAACCATAATATACGAGTAGCTGCAGTATAACTCTACCACGTAATAAAACATAAGTTTGCTAAAGATAAGTCTCCCCTATTGATACCTCATGAGAGAGTTAGATATTTCTTAATTGCCACATCTAGCTGGCCGGTTGCGAACCGCAACTTTTTATTATTTTGAGTTTTTATCAGAATTTCCCTTTTTCACCTCTTATGACAACGCAGGATTTTATGTTTGATTTTTTTATTCTTTCCTCTTTGTGTATGACGAAAAGAAATGAATGAGGAACGGAAATGGAAAAAGAGTAACAATTTGTTTAGTGACCAACTCCTCATTCATTCTTTCTATATATCCAAACCATATGTACCACTTATAATACGGTATACATATGTATTACCTTATATAACTCTTCAATACACTTTTCTCACGCAAGCAATCCTATTTAGCGTAATCTGCTACGTTGCAAATTCAATAAAAGCCCCCATTTCCCAATTTATCACCCCATTGACAGTAATATAAAAAATTGCTTACTAATAGCCACTTACAGAATAACACAAAGATGAAGTTGTTGTTGTTGTCAGACTTCGATTTTTATTTTTAATTTAAGGGAAAGAACAAGGAGTTTTTTTATTTTGTGTCACAATTATTACAGGGGCAAGGCCAAGCTTAAAATAAAACACAAAACGCTGTTAAATATTCTGCAATTTACATTATTATGTTTAAAAAATTTTGCTTAGTTTTTTTACGTGGTTGAGCCACGTTAAAAAACTAAGCAGCTATATTATGGTTGTAGCACGAATGGGTCGGCTCGACCGGGGAAGGACCACGCTCTCACAGAATACCAGCGTAGCAGCTTAATGCTGCTGGATTTCGTATAGTGAGTGTAGAGGATTGGAGACCCTTTTTACTGGAAACAAGATATTCCGTCCCCGTCTTCAGTGGTGACGACTCACCTGCATTTTAATTGTTAATTGCGTATAAATGTAGATGTATTGGCCACAGCAACCCCTTACCTTCAGGTGACACGTAAGTTTGTTTGTTATACTTATTCTATTAAAAACTGTGCTGTTCCTGAAATTTTCATAAGGCCTATTCTTATATAAGTTTGCGAAACCTGGACACTGACAAAAAGGAAGAGTCGAGAAGAAGGTCCTAGCGAGGAACATTAACCCTGTTAGTAGGAAGTTGCTAGCTGGAGGACCCGGAAAACCGTATCCGTTTCAGAAACAATCGTGGCTGAATCAAACATGGTGTCAAGTAGAATGTATGGGAGAGGATCGGAGTTTAAAGAGAGCATTTATTTTATTCTATTTAATATATTTATTTATCATTATTGAACTCCGTGCAAAATATACAGAAATTATATAAAAGGAGTATGTAATGGACGTCCTTATTGCTTACAGCAATTTCTTCTAGAGAACCAGTAAATGGCCTGGATTGTAGTAAGAATGAAACATTAGTCTGCCCACCCATTAGTTTATTCACTCGATCCAAATATCTCAGATGCGACCGGATAAAGTTGACCTGCGCACATGTCAAGCTGGTGATAACTTGCGAAAGACAGGACAAGTGGCGTGTTCATGTTTCGGAAGACAAGAACCACTTCAGGGTCACTGCACCATAGATGAATACATGAATTAATCAATGAGTGGTGTTAATGAGTCACATGTAGGGTTTGTCGGAAATATACCGGGTGGTAGGTCAACATTTCTGCCTTAGGGTCCGTTTTGGTAAACACCACCATTTGATTGGCTCTCTCTACACTGCAGACGCAGTAGAGTCACGTTTCAGCTATATTAAGGTTGTAGCTCAAATGGGTTGGCTCAACCGGGGAAGTACCACGCTCTCACAGAATATCAGCGTAAAATAGCAGCTTAATGCTGCTGCGTTCCGTATAGTGCGTGAAGGAATCGAAGACCCCTTTTACTGGAAACGAGGCATTCCAGCATTTTGATTCTTCAGTGAGGATTGATGTAAATGTCTATAGGCCACTGCATCCACTTACCATCAAGTGGATAGTGTGCTCGCTTGTCATTCTTATCCGTATTATTTATTTATAAGGTTAACCGGCAGATGACACACAAAAACTAAAAACAAACACACAAGCACTGTGAGAAACATGCAATGTGTTTACCAAGTTATAGGCAACCAAAGATAATACAGAGTAATGCTGCGAAAAGTTAAATAACGTATAATTTATTAGTACAGTTGCAAAATTGGGTATTCTTAATTAATATTCATAATTCTTAATATCTATTTTGGAGAAATTGTAAAGGTTCACATTTATCATCAAAATAAGGTAACATTTTTCTTCTAAAATTATTTATATTGTCATCGAAAATGTCCACATCAGATAGCCTGGATATATCAGCATCTATCCATCTAGAAAAGGGAAACAAACTAGGGGATGAGCAGCAGTATCTTCCCGATAACACCTAAAAAATAAAAACTATGTTGCCAACCTGACTGCCTGGCGTGCCAACTACAGCAAATATCCTCCTCTGAGACAATTTGTGGGGGGAGCCGCATGTGTGGACTTTTAATGAATATGGGTGACAAGCGAGCACACAGTCCAAATGTTGGTAAGTGTATGCTATAGCCCATAGGCATCTTCGTTCATGAGCACTCACCGGTCCCCCACACACCTTTTTTCCACCCCCCTTCCCCCCTTCTATCTCATCTCCCCCCCCATAAGAATCCCCCCTCTTAGAAAAACCCACCCCAACCTTTTTACTTTTAAATAGAAGGGAAAACCACTTATTAAAAAAAAAAAAAAAAAATGGGGATAAAAAAAAAAAAGAAAAAAAAACCCCCCCTTCCCCCCCCCCCCCCCCCCATCTTCGTCTATCTTCAATTAAGACTGAAATTACAGATGCATTGTCACCCTTGAGCACTGAGATATTATGCCTCATTTCCAGTAAAAAGGGTATCCGGTATTTACACTCACGGTTCGAAACACAGCAGCATTGAGCTGTTATTTTACGCTGGTATTCTGTGAGAGCGAGGTCCTTCCCCGGTGCTACAACCACAATGTGGCTCTACCACGTAAAGATGATGGCTAATGGCAGATAAAATTGAAACAATAATGTCAATTTTAAAATAAAATGTTTTATTTGCGACAACTTAATTGAAACATAAATATCGAACAACATTCGCTTATTTACTACCACGTTAAATAATTATTAATAATATTGAGAATAATAAATTAATTTGGCTTTCATAATTACACAAAACACAATATATATAAAATAATAATACAAAAGTTGCTTAGTAATAAATTATATAACACGTTAACAGAAAATGACTAGAAACAAATAAAGCTTGATATACTTGCATTCACTTTTGCTTAATTCCAGAAAACAATATGAAAATATAAATAATTATTCAAAAAAGAACCCGACTGCAGTAATCCAACTAATATAGGATGTATTTCATACTACACCAATTCAATTATTATTATTTATTTATCATTATCATTATTATTATTACACACGCTATCGTGTAATATATGGTTGGCAAGTTTTTAACATTTTATTTTCACCATATTTATTTTACGCTGACGTCATACAGTCATTATTTCCTGCGCAATTACAAAAAATTGATTAAGATTTGTCCATAGAAGGACCCAAAGACTATTTATTTATTTTATTTATTTAAGTACATCGACAGTGCTGACATTATTCTTTAAAGATAAAATAAAGTTTTACAAAAATTGTGCAGTCCGATATGAGAACCAGTTACTAAAGTACCATTTATTTAAGCTCCGCCGCAGTCGGGTAAATAACAAATTTATGTTAAATATGTTATTGTGGTTTCAGGAAACTAATAATATTTGAGACCTAGATGTAGTAAATGAGTAAGAATGGGTACTAAGAAATACTGAAAAGTTTACTGTGTTTTCTGATGATTATAGCGAATGCTTGTAAATAAAATTTCTAATATATTATCCTTAAAATCAACTAGGATTAATGTAAAACATATAAGCTAACGTTATTTACTAACAAATATTTTTATGTAAGCAAATGAAAAATGTTTAATTTATTTATTTTCCGTTCTTCTTCAAACATTTATACAACAACTGATTCCATGAATTATCTATTAATTAAGTGCAATCATTATATCACATGCCCATTGTTAATAACCGTTTCAAACTAGATGTTTTTCTTTGCTTTCATTCCATATTTAGACATAATTTAATAAATGCAATTTACGTTTCACAATTAAAACCAATATTATATTTTAGGCTACAATAAAATATATCTAATCGTTACTGCATAATAAAAGAAAAAAGTAGAATTATTACAACGATGTAAATTAATTTAAAAAATTGACAAAATTTAGAAGTATTGCACTGCCCGAAAATGTCAGTCTTCTAAATATAAAAACAAATTAAATGTATGGAAATATACAGTGCAAGGTGAGACGGCTATTTATAGACGTATATAGTGTGACAGAGAAGGATGTTTCGACTACACTGGTTAGCGGAAAAATATATTATTTCGTTTATATACTTGTGCTTAATACGAAATCAACTTTTTTGTAAAGTATCGATTTTCGTGATGAGGAATTGAAAGTTATGTGTACTCGTATTGGTCCATATACTTGACTACAGGGTATATATCATTTTAAGGAATTTCCACATTATAATATTTGGAGTTACACAAGCTGCCAACGACCGGCCGGTAAGATTCACTGCTAGGAAATCTTCCTACATTCAATTTATGATTAAGTCAAAAAAGTTTACTGTTTTGACCATAGACCTACAAAACATTTAATAATTTATTACTGCAACATCCAATAAATTAAAAGTGTTATGTTTACACATGTAGACGGTAACTTACTAATGAAAATTAAGTTTATAGATGATACAAAGTATGTGATTTGTTTCATTGATTTAGAGAACTAATATAATATGTATAATAGATTAATAGATATAATTAGGTTAACGATAACCTACTTCCGTAACATAAATTTCTAGATAATTTGCTTCTTATGCTATAACTTCGTACCTATCAACTAGTCTATTGCTATCTGGTGAGTCGTCTGCGAATTTTATGTCATTAGATGAATCGGAATTTTCATCAGCGAATCTCAAATCAACAGCATCCGTTCTTTTCAGTGTATCATCTTTAGTTTCTCTGGACGTGTCATTAACTCGTTTTAGTGTCGATGAATTATCGTAATCGTTTTTTGTTTCGCTTCTATGCACTCTAACTGGTGACATGTTTAGTGTTAGGTCTTTCATCGGTATTGACACGGGATTCTCTTCCCTTTTCCTTTTGTTTTTCTTTGTCACTCTTGGCGAGTGTTGCAAGTCGCTAATGCTGAAGTTAAGCGGATGTATAATGTTACCTCTGTCCATGACTTTCCTCATAGATTTAATGGACTCATTAGATCTGTTTGTGCGATTGTCTGCATTTCTTCGCAAAGTGCTAGACGGTGGTCGGTCTTCAGGTGACTCGGTATTGCTGCCTGGATCTGGACGTAGCTCCTTTGGGATAACCTCCTGTAAAACAAATAAAAAAATATTGATTTTGTACGACTTAGGTGTGTTTATATTAACACTATATTTTTTTTATTTCGATCCAAGTACGTTAATTATGCAACAAAATATTAATGATCCCGTTATTAAAAAATAAAAGTACCTCATATTTAAGCGATTTGTTTTCATCAATCTCCTTTATGATATCACCATCCTCAATAGGCGGTATCCAGACTAAAAAAGCCGGATCCATCCCTAAATACGAACCAGGAACAGAACCTGCAATAATTAGTAAGCTTTCGTTCATTTATAAATTAAACTCTTATATTAATTTGAACAAAATATTAAAGTATTTTTTTTTTCAAATTAGTTTAATTCTTTGAATAAAATGCTATTACCGGCGTTATTAACTTCGTAGTCATAATAATCTATCTCCATTTCAGGGTGGGAAGTGAGACTAAGGTCTGACTTCAATAGTTTACGATTGCAAGTTTCTTTGGTATATTTAGGGTTGTCACGAATTCTGGCTGATGACACACCGCTCAGAGCGGGAGAGTACCAACCCTGAAACAATTTTTTAGTTTTAATTAATAGAATCAGGCGTTACTTTGCGAAAACTCAATAAATTAAATATGTTGAAAATCAATTACTTAAGATCCGCGTACTATAAAATAAAAGTGCTATCTTATAAGTCGCGGAACGAACTATAGCGCTGAACGAAACGTGTAAAGGATAGCTGCGATTATCGTATCACTACGGGGGACCGGAGGGGAGAGCTAATCAGAGCGGAAAAATGATACGCACAGCCAATCATACGCAATAATGCACAATACGGCTAATCATGCGCAATAAAGGTTACCGCTAGGATTTCGTGCCACGAGTTGTACCCTGTTTTAGGAGAAGTACGTTGAGATTAGTGGATGGAAACAGATGTCAATCACTGTCATTGTGAACATGTGTCAATCATTCATTTCTTGCGACCGAATCATTTCGTTACGCGTAATGGTACATTCGGATCGATCATTCAAATGGATCATTTCGGGCTCCAGTACTCTGTGAGGCTGTGAGATACATTGGGAACCGAAAATTTTCTGTTTAAAATAGCGCCATTTACTACATGCTACAGGTAATAAAGTCATTTTATCGAACTAAAACTTATTGACTTTCAAGGTGGTAAGTACGATCGACGCTAGATGGCATAAAAACAAAACCTCAAGTTATCATAAATTTTAAATATTTAATAAATTTGTTTATTCTCAAATTTCATTCCTAACAATACACAATTTAATCTTACTTTACATGTCTAAAAATATGTATCGTATGTAGAATCGTAACATTTATTTGCTACAATATCAAACTTTTACTTATCTTATACAGCTTATACTTATATAAGGTGGTTGAAAATTTTCATATTAAATAAAGCATTTGTCATGAAATCTTTTGAAACGTTATTTTTAGTAAACTCAACGAAATGATATTTTTAACTCATAGATGTAACAAATAAATATAATAAAATAAAAAAAATTAATTTAGGTAACAATATTATAATAAAAAAACCCTTAAATAATAATTTCTCCTGATATTCTGCAGTCTGCATTGTTAATTCGATTCACCTGTTTATGCAGATCATTCGGGATTCGGTCGGCTCATTCACAATTCAAGCCAATCGCGGGTTAAAAAGGTACCGTCAATTATTTGTGATTGGTTGTACTGGTACATTCAAAAACAAATGAATGAATCATCAATACTTTTAAGTGTAACAGCTCAAACGAACGAATCATGCATGATTGACACATGTCTTTGGGAATAACGCACGCAATTAAGGAGCAGGCTAAACAAGACAAGACACATTATTTTATTTTATTCGTACGCGAATATTAAATAATTAATTTTTAACATCTTTACAATCATTTTGTAAGTAATTACATTTTCATAAGTTTTATCACATTGCTTTATTCAAACATAATGTTAAACAACATTCGTAGGTCATCAGTAGCTAAAATTAATTACAATTTAAGATTATTTCTTCACTTGCGTAATTAATAAAAATATTTCGATTTCAATTGTTTAAGGTTTGAATAAAAAGTCAATAATAGGATCGTCATCTCGTATATGTACTGTAGTGGCTATTGATGTTTATTTACTTCTGAGGACTAAAATGCACAGCCTGCAATTATACTGGGTGTACTTCTACTTGTAGGTAAAAATAGGTTAGAGTTGTACTAACTCAAACAGATTCCTTGACGTAAAAGCCTAATATTATATATTACTTTGAAGTAATTAATACAAAATATGATATATTTTTGTTAAAAAAATCCTTACGTTAGTTAGCGTTGCAGCTGAAGTTGAAGACGAAGCCCTACTTTCGCTTCTGTCCTTCTCCCACGCACTGTCTCTGTCTTTTTCCCCCATACTATCTCCTCTTTCACTCACGCTAGTGTTGCTAGTGTTCATCTCAATTGTCTCCGCCTTACTTGCTGATGGTTGAGGTGGTGACGTTGCCTAAAATAATTCGTTAATAAAAAAAATATTGAACGGGCTTTAAATTATTTAGGTCGACATCATCATAGCCTATCAAATTCTACTGCTGAACATAGGCCATCCTCATGCCTCACCCGCTATATTTCCCATAGTTGCCACGCTTGGCAGGCGGGTTGCCAACCGCTGTTTTATATTAGTTTGAGTTGCTATCTGAAAGATGCTGCTGCCGATCTACTGTTACATTTCCCCTTTTTTACAGGATAAGGTAACAAACGAGCACACAGTCCACCTGATGGTAAGTGGTTTCTGCGGCCCATAGAGATCTACATCCTCGATTACAAATCAAAATGCAGATGCGTTGTAACCCGTGTAGACGGAGATGGAATGCCGCGTTTCCAGTAAAAAAGATCTCCGGTTATTTACACTCACCATACGAAACACTGCAGCATTAATCTACTATTTTACGCTGGTATTCTGTGAGAACGTGGTCCTTCCCCGGTCGAGCCGATCCCTTTGTCATCTCTTTCGACATTCACGAGATGATATGATATAGATACGCGATACTTTTGTTCAACGAAATATAAGAAATGAATTTAAATAAAATTATTATTTTTAAAATCTTAAAGAAATAATGTAGATTATATATTAAAAAGGCTTACTCAACGAGGTTGACCCAAATCTGATTAGGGTCAACCTCTTCAAGTAAGCCCTTTTAAGTTCACTTCATGACAGAGGCATTTTCAAGAATACGAGAGGTCCCCATAAAAAACGGGGATTTCGGATAGACAAATTAAAATTATTTTTCTTCCATTAGTCGGCCATCAATGTCTCGTTCGTCGGCCAGCTGTTGGACAGGTAGGGTTGAAACCTGGGGACCGAATTTGTGTAGTCACTAACAGTAAAATAAAACTAAATCTGTGCGCTTCACTATTTTCGGCTACATCACCACTTACCGTCTGGTGGGATAGTAGTCTAGCAGTGACTTATATCAAAATTTATAGTTTTTTATATTTATTTATTAAAAGAAAAACGTTACCCCCACTGTTTAACGCATTGACTATTATACTAACGTTACCACTTATCAAAAGTCCACAGGTGAAACTATGTTCAACTGCGGCAGTCTATGTGGGATGCTTACGTCTCTCCTATAGACCGCCTTATGGGAGGGATTCTCGCCATAGTTGTCACACATTACACGAGGGTAGGCAACAACTTTTTACTTAGTAGCTATTATCAGGCAGACGCTGCTGCCTATCTCCTTGTTTGTTTCCCTTTGTCGTCTCTAACGACACCCACGGGTATCATCCCGTGGATGTCGTTATCGGGTAGTGGATATTCTCATACCGCCACTACACGGTAAAACAAATGGTAACGTTCAGCTTAACGTTTCTTGAACTTGTAACAGTAGTCTGAAAACAATACTTACTTGAGAAGAGCTAACATGTGAGGTGGAGACGGTGTGTGACCTTCGCAGCGGTGATGATGTAATGCTTTTGGAGCCAACTGGGGCGCTGCTCGACGACACAGTTTCTGGAGTAATGGTAGCTTGGCTAGCGACGCTTTCAGCGCTCGCAACGCTTATGGTGTCCCCTGGTTCAACTTCCACGTCTGTACCCTGGTCTTCTTCATCCCTAAACAAAACGTATTAAAAGATCACGCGCGGGGTTTTGACTAAATAAATTTAGTGACTTGCAACACTCAGCAAAAGTCACAAAGAAAAACATAAGGAATACGGAATATTTTGAGTTGTAATTAGAAAAATGCTGCTTATCTTCTAGAAACTGTACGCTAACGTAATAAAGTGAAATCGAATTGAGACTACTAGTTTCAAAAGTACATGAATAAAATGCTATAGTATCTTCGCTTACATTAGATTTTTGCTGGCAATTTTCGAAATTTTCAAATAAGTATGAGATCGAAATCTGCGCAGGACAAGGTTATAGTGCTCAAGTGTATGCGCAAGTGCAGGGCACTATCTATTCCTTCACTATCATAGTCCGATGTGATGGTAACTGGTGGAGTGAGATCAGGCGCAGGACCAACGGCTTTACGTTCTTTCATGGTGGTAAACCCCGCCTACTTCATCACTTCGGGCTGAGACTGAGTACATTTTTATAAAAAAAAAAAACCAAATAACTGATTTTGGTCCGACCCAGGACTCGAACCCGATAAATCACGATTAACAATCGCGTTTATAACTACTAGATATACGAGGCAGTCATGTGTAAAAATGCAATAGTAATGCTATTGGCTTATAAGTTCGCGGTCTGTACTGTTTTACACAAGCTGCTACGCACACTTGCTTAAGCAGACTCTGGTCGTCTAGGTGATTAGGTACTCCTTTTTGCCTAGCAGTCCATCTAGACTGGTGCCATACTCTTATCTATTTTGGCCGTCACGTGCACTGCTCTAAAGGGTATAGAGAGCCAGCATAATTAAAGGCTGTGACGCATTCCATCTTAGTCCTTAGAGGTGACGACCTCTCGGTCTTCATGAGCTACAGGAGCCACTTACCATCGGGCGGACTGGACTTCGTTTGTCACTTTTATAGAAACTAATTCGTGGTCTGTACCAAACCATTCGGTTACAGTCCCTATCTTATATCAAAATAATATATTTTACATAGACACACAAATATCAATAGAAAACAAAGGAAAATATTTAGGTAATGAATATTTTACATCAGACTAATACAGAATACCTCTTTCCTATTATAATATGACGTCATGGCAATTACCATAACAACCGTTCGTGTTGTAAAGTAAGAAATACGTGTCCAAACAATGGCATTGCTAGCAATCAAGAGCCTTGACAATTACACCCTTAACGAGTCTTCTTATGTTTTAAACTCGGGGTGAAGTGCTTTAAATTTTACGTCGCTTTTACTAGTGCCGTTTATTGCTTTTGTTAACAAGATCGATGAAATAAAATATTTTGTGAGGCACACGTACCTCGTCATTTGGTAGGATAATAAACAAGATCATGGCCCCCTTTTTATTCTCGATAGGAATCAAGTAAGTACTATTACAACAAGATTGTCTCGTTGGTATTGGTCTAGTAGTTGTAAACGTGACTGCTAATCGAGAGGTCCCGGGTACGAATCCCGGGTCGGACCAAAAAATCAGTTATTGAGTTTTTCCGTCAAGCTCAAGCTCAATTGTCAGTCAGCTACTGAGTTAGGAAGTTGTCTCACAGATCTCTCAACTCCGTGCCTTGGAAAGGACGTAAAGTAGTTGGTCTTTCGCCTGATCCAGTCGTGTCGATTTGCTGTGAGGAATAGAGAGTGCACCTGTGCTTGAGCATACACTTTTGCACTAAAATCCTGTGTTTCGCCGATGGCTAGTCTACGAGTACGTTGCGGCTGACCACCGTGAACCAAAATTAGTCTGGAAGACATATTATTATTAATATAACACGTTAATTGCTAATTAATTTTTAACTCCAAAGGGATATGGTGTGAAATCTCTCCCATTCTATTTACCATAGCTAAACCTAGACATATATTTCTTATATTTCAATATTTTTTTACCTGTAGTGGCGGTTTAAGAGAACCCACGGGGTGTCGTAAGAAGCGACAGCGGGAAAAAAACAGGAGACGGGCAGTAGCATCTTCTTAATAACAACTCAAATAAATAAAAAAACTGCGGTTCCCAACTCGGCGGCCATACTTGGCAAGTGTGGCAAATATTTTATCTAGATTAAAAGTCTCAACAATATTGAGACAGCTAGATAAGTTTATTTTAGTTCCTTTCGTAGTGCAACGTCTTATGGAATTTTTCTATGGGGTATAAAGAGCCATACGGTCGATTTATAACTTCCCTTAGAGTCCCTTAGAGGAAAAATTAAAGAAATAAACATATTAACTTTGGCATCGTAATAGTTTTAGACGTGGTAGAGCCATGCTGCAGTTATATTGGTAGTATAGTTGTAGCACGAATGGGTCGGCTCGACCGGGGAAGGAACACACTCTCACAGAATACCAGAGTGAAATAGTAGCCAATTGCTGCTGTGTTTCGTATGGTGAGTGCAGAGAACCGGAGACCCTTTTTACTGGAAACGAGGCATTCCATCTTAGTCCTCACGGGTGACAACGCATCTGCATTTTGATTCGTAATCGAGGATAGATGTAGATGTCTATGTGCCACAGTAACCACTTACCATCAGGTGGTCTGTGTGTTAGTTTGTTACCCTATTCTATAAAAAAATATACTCGTAGTTATGAAAATGTAATGTATGTACATAAAAACATAAATATCTTTCATAAGAATAAAATGTTCATACTTAAAACATTAGGAACAAACATAAGTTTGTAATACCAGTAACTAGACTCCACAGAATTAGTAATTCATTTATGGGGGTATTCATTTATCATAATTCATAATGTATGTGCTTTTACAACAAAATACCAGAAAATGAACAAAATTTGTTACTACACAAGTTTAAGTGTTTTATTAAAGAAAAATTATATTATACATTTAACGCACGCACACTGAGGACTGACGAGAAGATCCTGGAGCTGGAGGAAGAGATAGACAAGTTGCGCTGGAGTATTATAGGATTATCCGAGGTCCGAAGAGAGGGGGAGGACACGGTGATTCTCGAATCCGGCAACTTGTTCTATCACCGGGAGGGCGACCATCTGTCCCAAGGAGGTGTCGGATTTATCGTCCACAAGTCTCTCGTCAACAACGTTGTACAGATTGAGAGTGTGTCGACGAGGGTCGCGTACCTGATACTCAGAATCACCAAACGGTATTCGCTGAAGGTCATACAGGTTTACGCACCAACGTCGGCACATTCCGATGAGGAGGTGGAGGAAATGTATGAGGATATTTCCAAAGCCATACATTCCTCCAAAACCCACTACACGGTGTTGATGGGAGACTTCAACGCAAAACTAGGCACAAGAGAAAGCGGTGAGCTGAAGTTAGGGAAATTTGGAGTAGGGCAACGGAACCGAAGGGGCCAGCAGCTGGCCGACTTTATGGAGAAAGAGGGACTCTTTATGATGAACTCTTTCTTCCAGAAGCGGCCCCACAGCAAGTGGACCTGGTCGAGCCCCCGACGGTTCGACAAAAAATGAGATTGACTTCATTATGACGACCAGACACCAACTGTTCAGTGATGTCTCAGTGATCGCAAGGGTGAAAACTGGCAGCGATCACCGAATGGTTAGAGGTACACTGAACCTAAACGTTAAGTTGGAGAGGTCTCGTCTAATGAAGTCAACGCTCCGTCCCCCTCGTGCTCTAATCCAAAATCCCGAAAACTTTCAGCTCGAGTTACACAACCGCTTTCAGTGCCTACAAGATTGCAATGCAGTGGACGATATGAATGACAAGCTCGTGGAAACTGTCCATGCGGTCGGAGCTAAGTTCTGCAAGACCCGCCGCAGAAGAACACAAAAACTCTCCGATCACACTCTTAATCTCATGGCTGTTAGACGGGAGATGAGGCTGCAATCGTCAACAGATTTGACAGCATACAGGCAACTGAACAGACAGATCTCCAAATGCATGCGGCGAGACTTACGCAACTTTAATACTGCTCGTATTAAAGAAGCGATCGAGCGGAACCAGGGCTCCAAAGTCTTTGCCAGAGATCTGTCTGCCAGAAAGAGCCAACTGTCAAGGCTGAAGACTGAGTGTGGCAGCATCGTTTCCGGGACACCTGAGATTTTGAGTGAGATTGAGAGGTTCTATGGGCAGCTGTACACATCATCGTTGGAGCCACACGCAAGTGTGAGTAACGATCCAAGAGCAAGTCTTATCCGACACTATTCCGATGATATCCCGGACGTCAGTCTAAGCGAGATTAGAATGGCTCTCCAGCACCTTAAAAACGGCAGGGCCCCAGGCGAGGATGGAATTACAGCGGAGCTTCTGAAAGCGGGTGGAACACCGGTACTTGGAGTCCTTCAGAAGCTCTTCAATTCCGTCCTCCATGGTGGCACTACTCCAGAGGCGTGGAGTAGAAGTGCGGTGGTCTTGTTCTTTAAGAAAGGCGACAACGCTCTCTTGAAGAACTACAGACCGATTTCCCTTCTGAGCCGCGTCTACGTGCTGTTTTCGAGAGTCATTACGAATCGTCTCGCACGCAGACTCGACGACTTCCAGCCTCCCGAACAAGCCGGTTTCCGAAAAGGCTTCAGTACCATAGACCACATACATACCCTGCGGCAGATTGTACAGAAGACTGAAGAGTACAATTTGCCACTTTGCCTGGCGTATATAGACTATGAGAAAGCCTTTGATTCCGTCGAAATTTGGGCGGTGCTGCAGTCCCTTCAGCGGTGCCAAGTTGACTGTCGGTATATCGAAGTGCTGAAGTGTTTGTACAGTAGGGCTACGATGGCTATCCGAGTACAGAACCAGAGCTCGAAACCTATCCAACTGCAGAGAGGTGTAAGACAGGGTGACGTTATATCCCCGAAACTCTTCACCGCTGCTTTGGAAGACGTTTTCAAGCTACTGGACCGGAAAGGATACGGTATTAACATCAATGGCGAGTACATCACTCACCTTCGATTTGCCGACGATATAGTCCTTATGGCAGAATCGCTGGAGGACCTTAGCACTATGCTCAATGACCTCAATGGTGTCTCCCAACGGATAGGTCTTAAGATGAACATGGACAAAACAAAGATTATGTTCAATGTCCATGTCACACCTATGCCGGTAGTTGTGGGGAGCACTATGCTCGAAGTTGTTGACGAGTACGTTTACCTGGGACAAATAGTCCGACTAGGTAAGTCCAACTTCGACCGAGAGGTCAATCGACGGATTCAACTCGGCTGGGCAGCGTTCGGGAAATTACGACATATCTTCTCGTCAGGTATACCTCAATCTCTGAAAACTAAAGTGTACAACCAGTGCGTGTTGCCAGTGATGACTTACGGATCAGAGACGTGGTCCTTCACTGCTGGCCGTATAAGGACGCTCAAGGTCGCTCAGCGAGCTATGGAGAGGGCTATGCTCGGAGTTTCTCTGCGTGATAGACTCAGAAATGAGGATATCCGCAGTAAAACCAGATTGACCGACATAGCCCAACGGATTAGTAAGCTGAAGTGGCAATGGGCCGGCCATATAGCTCGAAGAACCGATAACCGATGGGGAAGAAAGGTTCTCGAGTGGCAGCCTCGTACCGGTAGGCGTAGTGTAGGGCGACCCCCCACTAGATGGAGTGACGACCTGGTAAGATATGCAGGAAGTCGATGGATGCAGGTGGCTCAGGACCGTGCTTTGTGGCATTACTTGGGGGAGGCCTATGTTCAGCAGTGGACTTGTGAAGGTCTGTGATGATGATGATGATGATGATTAAAGAAAAAATGTTATAATATCTAAGAATATATAAATGAAAAAAAAAACGGGGAATGAGGTGATTGCCACCGTGCTGGTTCTATAAAAATTCATGTAAAAATCATACTAAAAATTTTTTTGTAAAGCGAAATATGTTTTAAAAAAGTCCCGCTGGGTTTCTTGCTGGTTTTTCCCGGGACAGAGTTTTTTTTCGAACCAGTGGTACATAAAAAATGACTTTCAAGAAGTAAAATGCAATAATCTTTATCGAATACAAGCATTCATTGTATTTCATTTAGCGACTGTAATGGATGGATCAAAAAATAAACGAATACAGAAGAAAGAAATTGTTTATGTAAAGTAACACTCTACAGATTTAATACTTTAAAGCTGCAGCGAATTATGGCTACAAAACAATTGAGTAGTCCCGACCGGGAAACAACCACTCTATCACTGAACATAAGCTTAAAATGGCAGCATAATCTTTTATAGAAATAGGATGACAAACGAGCACACAGTCCACACCATGGTAACTGTGGTCTATAGAGATTAACATGTGTCTTCGATTAGGTACCAAAATGCAGACGCGCTGTACACCTCCTGAGGAATAAGATGGAATGCCTCGTTTCTAGTATACGTTGTCTCTAGTTCTCTACACTCAATATCTTTACGAAACACAACATCATTAGGCGACCGTTTAGTGACCATATTAAGGACCTACCGTCCCATTCGTGCTACAACCATAATATAGTTGCAGCATGGCTGTACCACATACACAAAAGATGTAAATTTTGTGCGATTTCCAATGGTTCCTTTTTCAGTAGTCTTTGGAGTGTCATATATATTAATTTTCAGTTAAAAGCATAAAACAGTTAAAAAAAGTGGAATAAAGCTTTCTTTAATATACAAACTTAAAATTTACTGAATTAGGAACTACCACCATTGAACGCCCAGTAGTAGTAAGATTTGTTGTTATAGAAGATTTGTTGTTATAGAAGATTTGTTGTTATAGAAGATTTGTTGTTATAGAAGATTTGTTGTTATAGAAGATTTGTTGTTATAGAAGATTTGTTGTTATACAAAGATTTGTTGTTATAGAAGATTTGTTGTTATAGAAGATTTGTTGTTATAGAAAATTTGTTGTTATAGAAGATTTGTTGTTATAGAAGATTTGTTGTTATAGATGATAGAAGATTTGTTGTTATAGAAGATTTGTTGTTATAGAAGATTTGTTGTTATAGAGGATTTGTTGTTATAGAAGATTTGTTGTTATAGAAGATTTGTTGTTATAAAAGATTTGTTGTTATAGAAGATTTGTTGTTATAGAAGATTTGTTGTTATAGAAAATTTGTTGTTATAGAAGATTTGTTGTTATAGAAGATTTGTTGTTATAGAATCACAGTGACAAGCGAGCACACAGCTCACTCGACGGTAAGTAGATGCTGTGGCCCATAGACATCTACATTTCATCCCTGATTAAGAATCAAATAAGATGTGTGGTCACCCTTGAGGACTAAGATGGAATGTCTATAATGAGGGGTCTGTACCTATTTATATTAATTATCAATATGTATGTATATATATGTATATTTAGGTATAAATATAGCAACTATAACAAATCCTTATCAATAGTGTTACCTGTTCGTGGTGGGGTCCGGTTCCCGCAGCCTAGAGTGTCGTGCGGTGGGCCGCAGGCGGCGCAGCGCCACGCTGCCCACCCCGTCCGACAGCAGCGTGCTGCGCGACGCTGCCGCAGTGACGCCCAGCTCCAGCGACGCCGAGCAAGCTGCACAGCACAACGTTACACTACCTGCCTCTCATACCACGGGGACGCAAAGCCCCCATGCATGGTAATTAGAATGAGGAGGAAATGAGCAAGTTACGTAAGGGTAATACTTAAGGGTAATAACCTTAAGCTTTGCGGCCCTATAAAACCAAAATACAACCAAAGCTAGGAGGAGATCGCAGACAAAAACACAAAGTCCTTTCCATAACTAATATATTAAGAAAAAATAGCAAACGAGCTTAGGGAATAAATAGGAACAATTAGAAAAATCAATTTAAAAAAACAATTAATGACTATTTACAGTATATCAACTGTCAAAATGGCGTAGATAAGGCAACGCCACTGACCTCTATATATACAAATGTACATATAGAGGTCAGTGGGCAGCGCCCTTTCAACTTTTTTTCATTTGATTGATAAATGAAGAGATATCTGATTCCGTTTTTTATAAAAGTATTTTTTTGCCAGACACGCCATAAATCAGTTTAGAAAATTGCAATTTTTACTATTTCATTAGAGCTTTGAAATTATTGGCGAGCTATCCTTTGCTTTACTACGGCTTATTAAACTTAATTACCGATATATTTTTTAATTTATTTCTTTATAACATGAAAACTAACAGCTAATAATTAACAATAGCTTTTACCCGCTTCGCTTCACTAGGCGCACGATAATATTTTATTGCGGAACCTAGATTTTTGATGGAACTTTTGTAAAACCTGTTGTTTGGGAGCGTCTACATTGTGAAATTGTAACTATACTAAATATCAAGTCAATCGGGCGTATAGTCGTAGTACTACGAGTATTATTTATTCTGCGGTATAGTTTTAGAGATCTCGTGATGAGTCAGTCAGTCAGTCGTATTTCGCTTATATATATTGCTTACTTTGTGATTTACATATATAGATATGTAAGTCATGAAGTAAACCTATTAAAACCTTTCACAAATAGGTAATCAGTTTACGAAAATACGCACAATGTAAATAAATAAAATAAGTTGCACGTTGATAATATATTATATACCTTTTTGAATCTAAGAAATTACAAATAGTTTGAAGTCAAGAAACAGATTTGTGGACGCGCGGAGGACTCTTCCCAATTTCGGAATACCAAAATATCACATAGAACAGAGAGGTAGTCCAGTCCAGTAGAAGAATGTGCACATAAGCTGCTATACTAAATTTTGTAATTTTTTATTTTACCATGTTTTGGTCGCTTTCTCTTTGTCTGTTGGGATCGAATTTAGTAATTAATTTTGGTCTAACTTCCTGATGAGCTATGAACTTCAAATTTTGGCCTTAACTCAGAATTTAATAACGACTTAGGAATATGAAATAAAATATATAATTAAAAAAAATCAAAAACCGGACTGCTAAAAAGACAATTTGAATGTAATGTACTGAACATACCGAAAGAAAACAAAATTAAAATATTTACTATAAAACTCTAGTGGATACCGAAATTTGTGTACATCATGTGAGGGCAATAAACTCTACAAAAACGAATGTAAATAAAGTAACTAAAGTGTAAAGGTAGAATTTTTACTTTTTAGATGAAAAAAGTTGAGTATAGACTTCTTAAAATTAGAAATGCTTTTCACATTGTTATGTTTTTGTGGGATAATCACATAAGACTGGTTTCGAACGATGTTAATGCTGTTAGCCTTGTGGCTTTAAAGCTTCATAGGTCTCAGGGCCCACGACCTAAAAGGCCGCGGGCTGTAAAAAGGTGAATTTAAATCATTCCGTATCGTTATTTGCGTAATGATGACTCCTATGACAGTGCACAGTGCACGTGGGTGAGTTTTCTAACGGCCGTCCGAACAGGAGGTGGCGGGCTCCGGCTGTAACGGCTAACTCGTGTCGTTCGATGTTCTGGGTAGGCATGTCGATCTAAAATCGATTAATCGAAAAATCGATTCTTTGGAGTTAAATTATCGATTTTTAGATCGATTCGAAGTACCGCATCGATTCTCTGAATCGATCCAAAAACCTCTTGAATCGGACTGATTCATTTGATTCAAGAACTAGCTAAAATTCCCATATGGGCTGGGGTAAGATACCACAGTTTTTTAATTTTTTGCTGTTGGTGGACGCAAAAACAACCGGTCGTACTTGGTTGATAATTTGATCATTCTAAAATTCTTAAGCCCACTTTCCACTAAGGGATATAATGTAATTTATATTACATCCCAAACTATAACTATTTTTTCGATCGACCGAGCGATATTTTCATATTATATTTCACCTCCTGTACTATAATATAATATAATATTATAGCTGTGAACTTGTGAATTTACATTATTTATTATCAAAAATATATGTACATACTCTGAGCTGTAAGTACAGACAGAGTACTTTTTAAATACCTAGATACTGTAAATAAATATTATACCGTACGTTGAAGTTTATAGAGGTTTATAGTAAGGAAATAACCAGTATTGTGTTCGTGTAGCATTCATTTCAATATGATAAATAGTGAATTATTAGAATCGATAAATCATGCATTTTGCACTTTTGTTAAAGTATTGTTATTGTTTTTAGCCTAAAATGTCAAATAAAAGTGTTACGTGGAATCACTTTGTAAAAAAAAGGGATCGAGTGGAGTATGTGCGAACCACTCCTAACACAAGCGTTTCAAGCATACCAGGAGTGGTTAAAACGAATATTTTTAGTAATGTTAATCAATAAGATTACTAAAATTTTATTTAAAAAATATTACAGTTTAGAAGTTAAAGAAAAAAAAAATAGAAAATTCTTGAAATTTCATGTTTGAAAACTTTTAATCCTCGATTTAATCGATAATCGATTCAAATACCTTCGATTCAAATCGATTCGGAGATCGATTTTTTTAAGAGTGAATCGAAATGCCTAGTTCTGGGCGGTGAGAACCGTACGCGGTGTAAAGGGTGTGCGGTGCGCCTAACAGTGTTTGTGGCGCTAGGTGAATGTGTACTGTGTAGTGTCTATGTGTGACGGGCCGGCCGCCGGCGACATTTGTGTTGTCGGCATCTATTCGAACTGGGGAATAATTACATAAAGTATCCGAATTTTGTAACTCATGGAACTTTATAATAGAAGAAGAGAATAGTCTCATTCTAAAGCTCTATGAGTTAAAAAATCCGGATACTTTATTTAATTATCCCACAAAAAGCATAACAATGTGAAAAGCATTTTTAATTTTAAGAAGTCTATACTCACCTTTTTTCATCTAAAAAGTAAAAATTTTATCATTACACATACATTTTTGTGTAATCGTAATATAAATTATATAATTTCATTACACTTCATTCTACTTCACAAATGGTACTTTTTAGGTAACAATTTGCCATAACTAAGTAGGTGGTCTGAAAAGTTTCCGACCTAACAAAGATAGAAGACACTTTTTCTTAAATTTTAATTTATTTTTCTACTTAGTCTACTTGTAACTCTATTCACTTCTCCCAGCGATGCTAACATATCTCTAACTCGACCAAATAGTACTCGGCGTTTCTTTCTGCAAAAGAAAGAAATGAGATCAGCTAAAGACATGGATTAAAACTCACCATCACTGTCAGTAAGCGACTCCTTGTCGGCGGCACGTTGGTACGCCCTGGTGCGGTGTGCTGAATGCAGCGCGAGACCCAGCGCGGCGAGCGCTGCAAGCGCTGCCAGCGCGCCGGCCGCAGCCCGCGCTCCCCCGCCCCCGCGCCACCACGCCCCGCCGCCCACTGATGCCCAAGCGGCTGACGCGTTGCGGATCGGCTCTGCTTATTATTATATTGTTTTGTTGGGTAAGGTTGATTTTGCCACATTTTGAAAAAAAAAATATTTTCATATTTTGATTTATTATATATAACAACATAGTGGGTAAATTGTAATGAAGGTATTTTAATTAGGTTATATATCTCTAAAACTCTTATAACATATTCTTAAAATTATGTAAGTTGTAGATTAAAGAGCCCTGGTAGCTCAGATGGTTAACGCTCGCTGTAAATATAACAGTACGCGAGTAACCCGGGTTCGATCCCCGCCGGCACCAATAAAAATGTTAATTGCAATTTTAAATGCTGATTTACCACATGCTCGGCGGTGAAGAAAAACATCGTGAGGAAACCTGCATGTCTAAGGTATAAGAAAAAAAATATTTCGAAGACATGTGAAGTTAGCCAACGCGCATTGGGGCTGCGCGGCGGACACTTCCTTGCCCTAAAACCTTCTCAGAAATGAGGGGAGGCCTGTGCCCAGCAGTTGGACGTTTATAGGCTGTAACTTTACTTTTTACTTTTGTACATTTAAAAAAATACAACGAGTTAAATTCGTCCAGACCCCCAAATTTAACGAATAACATCGTCCACTGCATTGCAATCTTCTAGGCACTGAAAGCGGTTATGTAACTCGAGCGGAAAGGTTTCGGGATTCTGGATTAGAGCACGAGGGGGACGGAGCGTTGACTTCATTAGACGAGACCTCTCCAACTTAACGTTTAGGTTCAGTGTGTCTCTAACGATTCGGTATACAACTTAACCATTTACTACTTTATATTTGCTTCTAAAAACGAAGTCAGAGACAGAACGAAATACACAACTGTCTACTTGTGTTTTAAGTTTCTGTATATCCAAAGGTTGCCTGGAATAGTTCGCTCTTGTGCAATTTATTAAAGTAAAACTCTTTACGCACGCTTGACTTGGGGAATAAGCTGGCGAACGCGTGACGAAAGCGTTACTAAAAGTGTGATCAGGCAAGCAGAGAGAGAGCAGAACGGGAGTTGAGTGGGGGGTATTAGCAAGAGAGAGAGCAGTGCGCGCGCACATTTTCTTTCGCTCTTTTTCTCAGAGCCAGTTATTTTTCGTAATTTTATTTCGTTTTGAACAATTTTATGATTTAATATTTTGTTCAATACATTAAATACACTACGTCTAAGGTGAATAAAACTGTAAATTCATTTTAAACTTCACGTTTTGTGAATTTTCGGGTGAATAATAACAAAATATGGAAGGAAGCCGATAATAAATTTAAATATTTGTGGAAAATTTATTTATGTATATGTATACATGTATATATTATACATTTAGCATATATTTACAATATAACCCGCGGCGCCAGCGCCACATCTCACATCATAGCCACTGCGCCACGGACCCGTCAAACAAATCTACTGTTACCGCGCTGCTCCAGTGTGTCTTCATGTCCTCGAAATATTTTAATCACACATGCAGGTTTCGACACAATGTCTTCCATCACCGCTGAGCATGTATCAGCACTGTTGCGTGCCGGCGGAATCAAAACAGATTTTCTCGCGTACTGTGAAATTTACAGCAAACGCTTAGCCTATCTCAGCATGAGCTACTATGTCTCTTCTGAGCTACCATAGCTCTCAATTTCGGCTTCTTTAGCTACAAACGAAACGTTATTTGCAGGTCACTAACCAATTTGGTAGGCGTGGGCCAAGAAGCCGCCAGTACAGCGTTCACTAGTGTCCGCCGACTTCAGCTCCACAAGGATGTGCCGCCCGCCAGCTATTTCGATCACACCCGTACCATCGGTCGTAGTTTCCACGTCACCTGTCTTTAAGCAATTTTTTCTTTATTAAATACCACTTTTCTAGAAGTTAAACATTATTAGAAAAAAAAAATAGAATTAGGCGTTCCTTTGCGGAAATCGTTTGAAAATTACATCCCGCCTTCCTTCAGCACTTCCCACTGCTGAACGAAGACCTCATAGAGCGAATGTTGCTTTAGTTGCTACGCTTGGCGGGCGGATTGGCAAATGCAGCTTTTTACTATTTTTTTTAGAATAAGGTTAACAAACGAGCACACGATCCACCTGATGGTAAGTGGGTGCTGTGGCCCATAGACATGTACATCTATCCTCGATTAGGAATCAAAATGCAGATGCGTTGTTACCCCTGAAGACTAAGATGGAATACTTCGTTTCCTGTAAAAAGGGTCTCCGGTTCTCTACACTCGCCATACTAAACACAATAGCATAGACCTGTTATTTTACGCTGGTATTCTGTGAGAGCATGGTCCCTCACCAGTTGGGCCGACTTATTCGTGCTACAACCATAATATAGCTTCTTGGCGTGTAATGAGTTGACTTGTTATCAGGAAAATCATCTTCCGTGAACAGTATCTGTACTGAGATCCTGTTTCAGTTTACTTCAGTCGCCTCGTACGACACTCACGGGACAATATGGTGTTGTGAATATTCAAACATTGCCAATACAGTAAAAGAGTTAATGATAATATAGTTTTTTTTAATTCGTTTTTATTTAATTATTTAGTGTTACTACTTTGTTCCAATGCTCACCGAAGCAGTACTGTCAGGTCCATCCCAAGAAGCTAAAAGCGGTGATCCTAAGGAATCTCCGTCCCTGGCTCTCAGCGCTTGACCGGCACAAGGCAGCCGGACTGCCTCGAAACGCAGCCTGACCACTAAGCCTTCCTCAGCCTGAGAAGAAAAATGAAGAATCATAATTAGTAAAATTACTAAATTGCTGAAAAAAAAAATAAGAATCATAATTCTACATGTGTCATAATTTTACATATTATGTAAAAGAATCTATTATTCTAATTTGTATAAGGTAGAGCCACGCTGCAGCTGTATTATGTTTGTAGCACAAATGGGTCGATTCGAACAGAGAAAGAAACACGCTCTCATAGAATACTAGCGTGAAATAACAGCTTAATGGCGCTGTGTATGTAAATAAAGTGCAGAGAATCGGATACTCTTTTTACTGGAAACGTGATTTTCCATCTTAGTCTTCAAGGGTGATAACACATCTACATTTCGATTCCTAATCAAGGATAGATGTACATAGATGGCTATGGGCCACAGCGTCCACTAACCATCAGGTGGACTGTGTGAATAAATACGGTCCACTACCTAATATCAGCGAAAAGGGTCTAGTTCTCTACTCTCTCTATACGAAACACAGCAGCATTAACACATTCACCGTCCGGTTTTTAGACACTAGTAAGACAATAGCAATGACATATATATGTAGTGCCCGGTACATCGAAAAAGTTAAGCTGCTATTTCACGCTGGTATTCTGTGAAAGCTTGCTCCTTCCCCGGTCCAGCCAAACTATTCGTGCTACAACCTTAATATATCTTCAGCTTGGCTCTAATACGCAAAGTGACCCTTTATCTAAAAGGACAATCTGACGGAGTTCTCTCGACATTTTGTTTAATAACAGCTCCTGTGACTACGTGCCATTAATACTGCGGAGAATTCAACTGAAGTCAAGTTTAATTAGAGTGTGAATATCGTCAAACTCCCAAAGGACTGGAAACGCTTCTCAAAGCTGTTTCGGAATTATAGTACAAGAGTAATTCGGTCCCATTCCAAAGCGATTTATCCGTAAGTCTTAGTCACACTTTAGAGTTAACTTTGATCGGAAGATAGAATAATTTAAAAGGTTAAACTTTAGTAGTTAACCGCTTAGTTATCACTAATTAAGCAAAATAAAAAATCGGTAGGTGAGCTCATTGAGTTAATTTTACAAATTCAATAAAGATTTTCTAATTGAAAGCATTTATTTTTAAATTTTACTGTTCGGATAAAACAACTGTCTCGGGAAGAACTGGCAAGAAACCCAGCAGGACGTTTCTTTTCCAAAGTAAAATAATCCAAAGCACAAATTTATGCTCAACGTATTCCAAGAACACGCTGTTACGTGCACATAATATATGCACCTAAAATGCAACAGCATGGTTTCAGGTACATATGTGTGCATCCAGCAGTTATCGTTATTTTGTATTATCTGTAGGCTCTGATAAAAAAAGAAAGAAGTAGGATGTGTGATGCGTGAGTTGAACGTGGTTTCGGCGTCACTCGTAACAAACGCAACGCTCCATCTATTAGCTAGGTTAGGAAATTGAGGTTTCCGCTTCGAGATCGCCCTGGCTTTGAGTTGCGCGTTCAGTCTGTATGTTTGTCCTTTTTCAATTTATCTAATTTATGTAAACGTGGTAGAGCCATGCTTTATTATGTTTATAGCACCGGCGATGGTCCACGCACTCACAGCAGTAATGTGAAATAGTAGCTTAATGCTGATATGTTTTATATGGTGAGTGTGGAAAAACGAAGACCCATTTTACTGGAAATGAGACATTTCATCTTAGTGGTCAAAGGTGACAACTCATCAGAATTTTGTTTCTCAAGCATCCACTTGCCATTAGGTGAACAGTGCGTTTGTCACCCATATTCTACTCGTATAAAGGAGAAAATCATAGTATGGAGGTTGGTAACGTTTTTTTTTAATAAAAGTGGTAACAGCTCACTATCTTGTCAAAAGTGTGAGTTTTTGTCACCATTGCTGCCATAAAAACATGGACAAACATACAGTCCCGGATCAATTATTCCTATTCCATACAGAATATGTGTGTGAGTTAACAAGAAACGAACCTTAAAGTTGGTAAGAATTTGATTTCTGCAAAGTAACGCCTGATTCTATCAAGTATCAAGAAACGAACCCGCAAACTGCAGCACTGCATCCGAACGCTGTGCTACTACGTTACCCCAGTCATAAAATCATCAGTACCTTTCCACAATCAATTATTGACTTCGAAATTTCGGTATATACTCAAAACTATTTAATGGACTTCCGGGATTAATATGCGTTTAACTATTTTGCGAGTTTATTTGTTAAAAGCTACAGTAATTGTTTAACATATTTCGGTAATGGGAAATAGACCAGTTTTAATGGATCGCTATATTATAACAAATTCAATATTGATTCAATTTATATAGTCCATCGAAATCGGTTCTTAGCATTTAATATTAGAAAATACAGTTATTTTAAAAATTCAACCATAAATACATTAGGTATAGCATATTATTTATATTTATATACCAGCGTAAAATAGCAGCATATTAATACTGCTGTGTTTCGTATTGTGTGTGTGTGTGTAGAGATCCTGAGACCCTTTTTTTTAGGAAACGAGGCATTCCATCTTAGTCCTCAGGGGTGACAATGCATCTGCGTTTTAATTCTCAATTTAAGATAAATTTAGACGTCTATGGGCCACAGCAACCACTTACCATCAGGTGGACTGCTTCGTCACCCTTATACTATAAAAATATAAAAGTCCACAGCTGAACATAGGACTTACCCATATATTAACTCATAGGAGGGATTTCGCCTCAGTTTCCATGCTTGGCAGACTGGTTGGCAACCACAGTTTTATTACTTTAATACATCAACGGGACAATATGGGGTAATGGAACTTCTTAAGCCCCCTCTAAACGGTGAACGGTTTAGTTGTAAATAAACTGACAATAATTATCCTTGAGCTATTAAATAAGTTCTAAATTCTGTATTTGGATGTAATTAAATAAGACGATGCCTTACACCTAAATAATAAGACAGACAGAACGCACAGAACTATTGGCTAAAGCCAGCCGCTAGTTACTTATTATTATGCTCATTTTCGGTGTAGGACTACATCTGGGTAGATAACAAACTTAGACCTATATTTACAAAGGAATAAAGAAAGACATTCATGGAATTGAAGGAAAACACACAACATTAAGAAACAGTAATTCATCATCTTTATAGTCATCGTTAAACCCCATTTTTTATGGGATAAGGGTGCCAAGCGAGCATACTGTGCAACTGATGGTAAGTGGTTGCTGTGGCTTATAGACATCTATATTTATTTTCTAGTATAAGTCTGCGTGGTATAAGTCACTAAATTTAGATGAGCGACTGAATTGACGTCCTACAGAAATTCCGAATTATTCAGTTTATTTCCTGCAAATAGAGATCTGTCAAGTCAAATTTACAAAATGATGGCGTTGCCTTTCCTATGTAAGCAATTCTTAACCTCTCAAACGGTAAGCGTCCAAAGAATCATGTCCAATCTTGACCTAAAAATTTTCTAACGCGTCTAGTGATGTAAAATATCTTATAAACTTGCCTTTATTTTCCTTATTTCATGTCGCATAATTGAATTTTCCATAAAGCCAGGAAAAAAAGTAATATTACTATGTTTATCATTCTCAATAGAATTTTGGAGACGGAACGCGTTTTAAAATGGCTTAAAGCCCCAGAAGCCATGCCAAAATATATTAAAATAAAACGTGTTTTACACATTTCGTTTCACAGATAATGAAAATATTATTAATTCGCCATGTGGTTTATGAATATTCAAAATAACAAATTGTTTTTTGTTACTTATCTTATTATTTTATAATTTGATATGATTTTTTGTGGCTTTATACTATGGTGTGGTGAGTTATTTTTCTTCCCACACCATAGTATACCATAGTGTATAGTTCACAGGTTATAACCTAAAAACTTATAACTTTGCAACATTTTTCCCTGGCCTCTAAATGAAAAGGTGATAAGTTATTACGTAAACAATAATTTTTATGCAACAGTAGTTGTAGGTAGACGCGACCTCTAAAAAGAAACAAGTGACAGGTCAATCAATCAATCATACTTCTTTGACCGTTTCGATATTCCGTCAAAATTCAAGAGATCAAATATGACCGCACCCACCCACAGCATTGTAACCCATAAAAACGTATGTTTAGAGACTACTTTTCTGTGAAGAAATTTGACATTATAGAATCAATATGAAATTTTCTAACCTCTAATGGAATAAAAAGTTACTTATTCTATGGATATTTACTTATAATCTACGTTCATTTCGTACGCCATTTTCGTGTGAATGTTATTATGTTGGTTTTTGAATTTTTCTAGTGTTTTAGAATAGTGTTTTATTATAAAATTGTTAAGAAAGTTTTTAATGAATATGATTTATCTTTTAACGTAAATAATTTCGAGAAATATATAGAAATAATTGTGATTTTTAAAGTAGTAGTAGTGTAATGAAGTAAAACCTGACTTTTGTTTAGACCACAAGATGGAGAATTTTGTATAGATTTTATAATGCTAAACTTCTTCGTAGAAAATAAGCCTTTAAATATAAATATTAATGGTTTAAAGTGCCGTAGGTGGGTGCGGTCGCATGCGACCGCTCGGGATGCGCCGGACGCATGCAAATGCATGGGATTTTTATGGGGATTAAATGGTTATTTATATTAATACTACCTCGTTGGTCTAGTGGTTGTAGTAGTGCGACTGCTGATCATGAGGTCCTGGGTTCGAATCCCGGGTCGGGTCAAAAATCAATTTTTGAGTTTTTCTGTCAAGAAATTCTCAGTAGCTACCCGGAGTCAGGAAGTTGGCGGTGTCTCTCCCGTGCCTCGGAAAGCACGTAAAGCCGTTGGTCATGCGCCTGATCTCTCTCCGGTCGTGTCGGTTTACCGTCCCATCGGATTATGAGAGTGAGGGAATAGAGAGTGCACCTGTGCTTGCGCATACACTTGGACATTATGACTCCTGTCCTGCGCCGATGGCTAGTTTCCGTTCAGGCAGGCCGCCGTGACCGAAATTCGGTTTGAAGGACATTATTATTATTATTATATTAGTACTATTTATTTCTTTTTAGGGTTCCGTAGTTAAACAAAAAGGAGGCCTTATAGTTTCGCCATGTCCGTCAATCCATTCGAGGTTTTACTCAGAGATCCTAGGTGAAATAAAAATTTAAAAAACATTTTTCTTTTGGGTATCTCCCATATAGGTAAAGGGAGCATCATATTTTTTTACTCGTTTATTACATCATGTAGAGTATAGATGAATAGATATTTCGAAAACATTGGAGTTATGGATCAACATTTTTTCTATTCTTTTGCGAAATATTTAGCTTAAAAAGTGGTATTTTTCATTAAAGTAATGTGTCCTTTACCAAATAAACCGCTGTTTCTGTAAATCTGAAAGTATACATATCACAGCTAAGTAGAATAAACAAGTTAAGGGGGAATAGTCGACCAAGTTATAAAATGCACTTGGATTAGTAAAACTTTCGTTACAACTCCATAGAAAATGCCCTAAAACTAGCTGCAATATAACATTGTAGTTTTATTTAAATCCATAATAAATAAACATTTTATGAAGAAATCGACTTACATGCGATATAGGCAAAGAGGATCTTTCTTACTTACTTACAACTCTTGCTTAATTTTTTTGTTGGTAGTCAAAGGCTTCATTAAAAGTATTTATACAATCATATACATAGCTTCATATAGTTTTATTCGTGGTACTATTGGTTTACCCGGGCGACCCTCAGGATAGTTACGGTCAAATATATATGTTAGGGTTGCACTGCCGGGAATATGTAGATAGATAGCCAACTACGACCATCTTTATACGGATTTGGGATTTGAATGGTTTGATCTAGATTTTATTATTTCCAAAATCAAAAAGTGTTTAAATATTTTTTGAATACTACTGCCTATGAGTCTGATTGGAAAATAAGTCGTCCAGTTACCATCGTCCTCTTTAGTCCCATTTTAGTCGTTATAGCAGTAATCGCCACCTCACTCAATATGCTCATTTTCAAGAAAGCTACTTCTAAGTTCACGTATTGTGACGGCCATTACGGAACCATACCTTAACTTGGTCGGCCTGGCCGACACGCACTTAGCCTGTTTATAACCTTAAAAAATATATAATGGCCCATAGTTGCCATAGTAACGGTCGTGTTGTTTCGAATTTGCTTACCAACATAGGCCGCTCGCCCTCATATAATATGCGGTTCGGTCGAGTGACTAATCCGAGTCTATATTCGAATTGTCCCTGTTACTGAGCGATAGTCTTTCTACACCGGTGTGTAAATAGTTATCGATAAAAATGGAAAATGGCAAATACTTTTTTTATAGAGGAGGGGAACGAATGAAAAGGTCATGCGGTTCACCTGATGATATGTGTCAACCTACCTCGTGCCCATGAGCAACTGCAACACCAGAAGAATTGCAGGTGCGTTGCCGGCTTTTAAAAAAAGTAAGCTGGTTCCATGAAGGTCTTGGAAGTCGTATCGAAAAATCCATTAGTGGTAAACGATTCCACAAAAAAAAAGGAGTAAACACAGTGGTGGATCACTAAGCATCAAGATGGTGTAGTTCTTATTGTGAGTTATATGTTAGTTTAGTATTACGCTACAAAAGTACTTGCCTGAAGTAACCAGAAGGATCTAGCCGGACAAGCCCTCGCAGAACCAGCTAACAATCTTGCAGCGGGTGCTAGGTGCAATACGCAGCCGCACCGACATCTTGCTCCCACTTCTGCAACCACCACTGAAGAGTCACCAGCCCAGGGTCGGGCGGTGCATTCACAAGCTGCAAGCTCCACGGCTTGACCCTGAAAACATGCTTTTGTTATAAACAGAATAAAATTGCAGTTGGACAGTAGATTACGGTGGAGTAAGGGTTACTGTGTAGTGGAGGTTTAAAAATATCCACTACCCCTATATCATCCGGTGGGTATCGTAAGAGTCAACAGAGGGAAACAAATCAGGAAATGGGCAGCAGGTTCTTCCTAATAACGACTAACAATAAAAAAACTACGGTTGCCAACCCGTTTTCCAAGCGTAGCAACAATGCCAGTTAACTCCCCTATGAGGCAAACTATGGGGGAGGCTTATGTTCAGTAGTGGATTTTAATAGGCTGTCACGGTAAGGGTGACTGATACTGATAATGCCTCATTGAACTAGAAGTCGTAAGAGCGACTGTAGGTCAAAAATTAGTTATTGGGTTTTACTTTGAAAAAATACTCATACTTCAAAGCAGTTGTAACACAGCAAGCTAATAAGCTATTTGTTTCTGTATTTAAAATATACTATATGTGAAAGAGTGCTGATAGTTCCTACTAAAAAAGGAGCTTATTATATTCAACGAAAGAACCTTCGGAATCAATTAATTAATTCAAAATATTAATTTCAAAGCAGCAGTTTTTGGCACCTGTTTCGGCATGCCGAGTGTTGCCTCGACGTCCCTAAGGTTGCCGAAGTATGCTAAAAAGGCTGTCAAGGCATTCCAGAGGCATCCGTAAGTTTATCGCACCAATGTTTATACAGCTATGGCCGTTGTTATTAAAATTTCAACTATAGTAATATAACTGTGGTATATTAACTGTTTTACATATCACAGTTATATTACTATTTGCCACTTTAAAATCCCTTGCCAGGCTGTAATTGTCCTTGTATAATAAAAGTAATACGTACAAAAAGGAAAGAAAGGAAAAACAAAAAGGAATGATTTTTCGATTGACGCTTTCATATTATATCACATAATGTTTTAGTATAGTTTAACAGAATCAATACAAATACATTTATCTTTGTAAAACAAACAACGCTGTATTTATTTGATATTATATCAGCATCCTATCGAGTTAAAGATTAATTGATTAAATCTTAGCACTAATATATAGAATTAGTTTTACTAAAAATAGGTACATATTTTATTCTCTTCTGTTTTTACTAGTTGTAAGCTTGCAATTTTTAAGTTATTACCTCTACTTGAAATTTTAATAAGAATAATTTAATAACACTTGTGTAATTAATTCTTTTCGCGCTTGCATATCCCAAATGTGTATTATTGTTGATTGTGCTACAACATAGCGTATTTCTGAAATCTGTTTCACTTAAAAAATAAAACAATTAATGTAAAAATGATATTACCGTTATAAAAATAAATTTTGAATATATTTTATTTGAAATAAGAAAATATGAAGAATTTATAAATTCCTAGGAAACATTAGAATAGCATAATAATTTCTAAAATGTATAACTATAGGATTGTATATAATACTGTACATAATGTAATATCGTAATAATATTGCCAATAATGTCCACGGTAATAGTTATTCATTCACGTCCTCTTTTTCCTTTTGCTTAGGATCATCCGAACTTTCTTCTTCATCCTTCACTTCTATTTGCTCTGAATTTCTGTCGTCACTTGCCTCTTGCTCTCTTTCTAATTTTTCACGAGACTCCTCTACGTCATCTTCTTTTTTCTTTTCATTTTCAGTGCTCTCAAATATAACTGACTTTGAAATTAATCCCTTTTCCCGCTCTTCGGAAAATCTAGATTGTGATTGTAAAGCCATTTGCGAATATGCTAAGTCTTTCATAATCGATTTCTGAATTTCTAATTTACTTATTTCTAGCTGTTTTTCGATATCAATTGTATCCGTCTCACTCTCTTCTGATTCGGTAAGTACAGAACCTTCAGTCGACTGAGATGAAGTTACGAATGACTGAATACTTTCTTTAATTGGCATTTCAGGTTCTGAAGAAGGAGGCACCAGCTTCATACTAGGAATCGTTTTAATACTACCTATCGAAGGTATGGAAATTTCCTTTGAGGTTAAGCTTTCTTTTTCCTCATGAAATGAGTCTTTGGATGACGCGAGAATCACTGTAGAACCGATCGACTTTTTCGAACTCGGTTTTGGAATGAATCCAAGATCTCCACCCTCATAAATTTTTTCGAATGACGCCAGGGTCTCCATTGATCCCGCTTGTTGTATGTCACGATATTGGGTAATAATCATAAGTAAGCGTGAAAGCAAAACCTGTCTATCCACTACATCGCGAGTTGGATCCACGGTAGACCATTGATCTAATTTCAAAGCCGCTAGAACTGCAGTCGCAGCTTCTTTTAAAATTTGCTTTAATTTAGCATTTTCTTTGGAAATTTTTGAAGACTCAACAACCGACTTGTTTTGATCAGTCAATTTTGCATGAAGATTTTGTTCTAGGATTCTGACTTGTAAAGAAAGATTTTCATTTTCTTTTGTTAATTTTTGAACTTTTGCCTGCAGTGCCTCAAAATCATAGTTCCTCTTTTCAAATAACGCCTTCTCCTTGTTTATATTTTGGAAAGCTAAAGTAAGCTGATCGATAACTTTTTGCTGAACAATGCTTTTATTAATGGCTTTGTCTCTTTCTTCTTCAGCTAGTTCCATCTTAATACGAGCCGATCTTTCACTTTCTTTATATTTATCATTTTGTTCTGCTAATTTTGACTGGGTAGATAAAATATTATCCAGTTCATTATTAATAGCAATATTTTCCCTAATAACACGATGAGTAGACGCTGCTATTCTTAGTTCCGTGGCATCTTGGAAATCTTGTGCTAGTTGTAGAAGTCTGGCTTCCATTTCTTTTTTTAATTTATCTTTTCCTATTACGAATTTCTTTTCGCGTCATTAATAACTCTTTTGTATTTAATTTCTTGGTCTTTAAAATCTTGCTCCTGTTTTTCACATTTTCTCATTAAGTCATCTCTTATGGCTCTGAATTCTTCCAATGTATTTAATTTACCAGCCAATAGCTTGTTCTCAGATGTCAACTGATCTTTCATTATTGTAAAGTTTTTCTCTAATTCAGATACAGTTTCCTTGAATTGAGCGGTTTCGATTTCTCTAGTTTCTTCAAGACCCTTAACTTTTTCTTTTAGCTCAACGTTTTCTTCATTTTTGAGGTTTAGCATCTTCTTTAAATATGCAATAATATCAGCACGATCTTCATCCAACTTATCGTAAGATTTTTGTAGTTCCTCATTGCGTTGTTCATATTGATCGACGGCTGTCCGAAGTCTTGCGATTTTTCTGTTACACTCAGCTAGTTGTAGTTCTAAGAACGTCCTTTCAACCTCCGTGAATGTAGCACCCTTATTTGTTTCTTCATCCTTCTTTCCTTTATCTTTCTTTGGTGGCATAATTATAAAATAAAATAAAAAGTACAACCCAGAACCTTGTTATGACACTGTAAAATGAAATATTGAACTAACAGTTGCTTAGCAACGCGTCTCCTAGTAAATATTCGTACTTAGTGATATTATCAAAAGTTTTCATTGATTTATTATACTACTGCGTACTAAGATATCATGCTGTTTGCTCGGATACAGAACTAAGGCCTAATAAAGTTATGTAGTAGTGTGGTTATATGTAAGAGTGACAAATATTATATCATATTTTGATTTGTTGTTTTACTTTTAAATTAATAATTAATTATCATCATTAACCTTTTTTCTCTTTAATTACTTATTAATAAGTACATAATTATGTATGTGAATTAAATATGCAGGCATATATCTTAAAATTTATTACTATCTAGCATCATTTATGGTGAAATATTTGGTCAAACACAGGAATCAAAACTGTAAAACTGTTATATAAATATTACAGTAACCTATACTATAGCTTGCACTTCTAAGATATCCCCTTTTTCAAAATAATAATTAGATTTTATATACAGGATATTTTTCAAAGAGTAGTAAAATTTTAAACTTAATTTCAAATATATAAATAATGAACCATGGTGCAGTTATATTAGTAGTATAGTTGAAGCACGAATGGGTCGAGCTCGACCGGGGAAGGTCCACGCTCTCACAAAATACCAGCGTAAAATAGTAGCTTCATGCTGCTGTGTTTCGTATGTTGAGTGCAGAAAACCGGAGTCCCTTTATAATTGAAATGAGGAATACCATCTTAGTCCTCACGGGTGACAACGAATCTGCAATTTGATTCGTAATCGAGGATAGATGTAGATGTCTATAGGCCATAGCAACCACTTACCATCAGGTGGACTGTGTGCTCGTTTATCACCTTATCCTATAAAAAATGATATACCATTATTGTAGTTTTGGAATATACGAGTAAATAAGGTTTCTACTTATATTTGAAATTTCTCTAAATTGAATGTGATTTATGCGCAGTAAAATCAGTTAAAATAATGCATTACCACGTATTTGAATTTAAAAGATAAAAGTATAGAATGGTTTGAGATTTTTTAAATTAATTTTTCTTCACCATTTTTCCATATTATTCTGAACCCTCTGCAAATTTGATCGGTTATCGCATAATAACCCTGTATAAAATACACTGTGTCCACTGCCTATATCGTAATGTAGCGACTAGTAGCAACATACATGTGTATAATATGAAAATTGCTTACGTCGCGACTATTGTATAGCAGTGCCAGTTATCACTACTGGGTACTGGGTGGTTAACGGTTTTCGTGACAACGTAACGTAACAGTTTTTAGCAGACTCTTAATTTAACTGTCAGTATTAGTAGTATTATTAATTATTAGTCAACTATTAAAAGTTACCATTCTAGTCGTTACAATGAGCATATGATAGTTCTTAATCTATTCTAAAATAATAAAATGATAGCTTTCGCAGTCAGTGCCTCAACTTCAGAAGTTATATGGAAAATATTTTATCCTTTACAGTTTTTTAAAGTTGACTTTTAAGAGTTTATTATTAATTTGTAAAATAGATTAAAATAACAGGCCAAGTGCGAGTCGAACTCGCACATGAAGGGTCGCAACCAACCATCGCAAAACATATTTCTAGCAAGGGAGCATCGTTTAATTAAAGTTAAAAGTTAAAGTTACAGCCTTACAGATAGATACGTCCCACTCCTGGACACAGGCTTCCGCTCATTTCTGAGAGGGTTTGGAAAGAATTGTCCGCCGTGCTGCCCCAATGCGTGTTGGCGGACTTCAGATGTCTTCGAAATATTTTATTTTTTCAAGTTTGCGCGTTAACCGCTAAAAAGAACCCCTTTGTCGTATCTCCTCAGTTTCAAGGCACTCCCCTTGTTGCCTCAGCCAGTATCGGAATCCTCGGCGTCGACATATCGAGTGACGTGCAGCTTCGTGGTAAATTGGAAGGAAAGACCAAATTGGCCTCTAAAAAGCTTGGCGTGCTCAGCAGAGTGGGACAGTTTTTCATGCCGGCACACCGCCTGCAACTTCACAAGGCGCAGGTTCGGCCGCACATGGAATACTGTTCCTATCTCTGGGCTGGGGCTCCCCAGTACCAGCTCCTTCCACTTGACCGCATCCAGCGCAGAGCGGCTCGAATCGTCGACGACCGAGTGCTTTCCGATCGGCTCGATTCACTGGCGCTGCGAGGAGATATTGCATCTCCTTGCATTTTCTTTCGCATATACCATGGAGAGTGCTCTGAGGAATTGTTCGGATTAATCCCAGCCGCCTAATTTCGTGAACGCACTACGCGGCAAACGTCCCGATACCATCCACACCATTTGGATACTTGGCGGTCCACCACTGTATGTTTCAAAAGGAGTTTTCGTGCAACCTCTCTGTGGAATAGTTTACCACCGGCGATTTTTCCGGACCGATACGACCTGGGGACCTTCAAGAAAAGAGCTTACTCCTTTCTAAAGGGCCGGCAACGCACCTGCAATTCCCCTGGTGTTGCGGTTGATCATGGGCGGCGGTAGTCACTTAACATCAGGTGAGCCGCATGCTCGTTTGCCCCCTCTTCTATAAAAAAATAATACAAAACTTAGGAAGAGAAATAAATTTATATTGCCTAAAACCATATTCCATGGCGGTTCAGGCGGTTTTGGACCTTCGATGGCTAATGATTAATAAGGGTGAGGAGGTTATAGGTAATTTGTAACAAACATAACCAAAACTTACCTCACAATACTTGGCACCATACGCTGGTGGAGGCGAGTCGCTAAAGTGGTGACGACTCCTCGTGCGCGTGGAGCAGTGTGCGGGCGCCGGGCATGCCCACCACGCTGACCACTCTCCCCACCCACCAGCTCCAACGTCTGATTGAAGTGGTTAATTTTAGTCTTAGGTTCATGATTTGGACATGCTATAACATCACCTTGTATTAATTTTTTCTTTTTAAAGGCGTTATCCTAGGATTTTCTCCTGTATAGTGGGGGCAGTTTACATACATACATTTCACAAGTACAAACATCCAGACCCTGAGAAATTATTTGTAGGCCATACAAATACTTGTACCGTGCGGGATTTGAACCCGCGTCTTTTAACAATGAAACTCGTTGGTACGCCACTCCACCACGGAGCCTTCAAATATAATTAAGACAAGTAATTATAAAATTTTCTCCATGAAGTGACGGAGTAAGACAATTCACTACCCATAGGAGATAGGCAACAGAATCTCCCTGTTTACAATTCAACTTTCCACTTACCAAGACTGGCAACTATGGAAAATATTTCCCCTAAGAGAAAATCTATGGAAGGGACTTATGGTGGTAGACTTTGATAATCTGTAAAGGATTTAGTGGAATAACAATACGCCTTTGTGAAGGTTTGCGTGAGGTCTGGCGTTCCAGGCTGCTGTATTTAAGGCCGGTAACAATTTGGTTTGTTCGACCAGCGTTTCCGTGAAAGTCTATTCTCGTTCACAAGATACACCAACATTAAATAATAAAGTTATGGGTAATGATGAGAACCGGATAACTTTATGAATGTTGGTGAACATGGGTTTTGAGCTCTACTTACCGTTAGGTTGGCTTTGTGCACGTTTGGCCCATGCAAAAAACTATCTATAAATATAAGAAATACAAGGCATGTCCTCCTCTTTTCAAACATTTTGTTCGTACTATGAAAAATTTTTTGAAATATATTTATGCATATTTTTAAAACCGGAATCTATTTGGTATATTTTTATTAAAAATATATCTAGTTTATCTATATTAATCTGGTTTATAGGTATAGTAAATAGGATATAATGAATAAAGATAGTGTTATAAACAAAAGTGAACCTCTAGTCCCAGTGATTATTAAGTACAAATTATGGATTTTTTCCAATCATATAAGTGATCTTGTGTAGATTACATAATACACGTACCTGATAATGGCAGTGTAGGCAAGCAGTCCATCCTGACATCGGCCACAGCGCCTGTGACAGCTTGAGAGACATACACGAAGCAGTACTCCGGGTACCTCTCGCTGAACAGCCGGCAGTCGAACGAGGCTGTGTGCTGGCCCCTGGTGAAATTTTTAAATAATTATTAGGAACTTTGATTATCTAACAGAGTAACGAATTAGTTGACTAACATTGCCAGCCGAAGAACTGGAATCCAATAGGAAAGAACGGTTCTCGAGTGATAGTCTACAGCCTCCCACTACCACTAGGCAAGGCTGGCACTCGACGTATCTTACAATTCGGTTATCCCTCCTTACAACAAGAGAGATAAAAAGAGAGAGCGAAAGAAAAAATCCAGCTGTGTTATTCTACAGACTGATGAAGATGAAGAAGAGAAGTGGAATAACACGGATAAGACCGTAGGTCGTGTTGAAAAAACTACGCTCAACCTAGGATGAGCGTAGTTTTTCCAACACAACCATTTTTTTTAAATATATTGACTGCATCGTTGGTCTAGTGGTCGTAAAAGCAATTGCTACTCATGAGGTCCCGCGTTCGAATCCCAGTTCAGGCCAAAATTAGTTATTGAGTTTTTCTGTCAGGAAATTTTTGGTAAAAGGAGTCGGGATATTGGAGATGTTTCACCCCGTACCTCGGAAAGGAAATAAAGCAGTTGGTCGCACCTGTATTCTCTCCGGTCGTGTTGGATTGCCATCTCGTCGAACTATGAGAGTAAATGAATACAGTGCACATGTGCTTGCGCATACACTCGGGTACTATATTCCTGTCCTGCTAGATGGCTAGTCTCTGGTAAGACTTGCCACCGTGACCGAACTTCGGTCTGGAGGACACTATTGTTATTTTTAATTTAGCAACCATCCAATCTATCAATCATATACTGGTCTCTATTTTAAGAGTTTCTTACCTTCTTACACGTCTCTCGGCCACATAACGCAGTCGATCAGAGTCCCTCCCAAACACTCTGACTCTATCGGCCCTCTCCAGCACGCACTCGGGATACTGGAAGAGAACTCGTACACCGTCGCCGCATGGAAACACCGAACCTCCATGGACGTTTAGCACGAACTGCTCTGACCAGTCCGCCTGGAGGAAGAGACAAAAAACAAATAAAGGTTATTATATTTCAGCGAATATTACCTAACATAAACTTTGATACGTGGTAAGGCCACGCAGCGATATTATGATGGTAACATGAATGAGTTACTACTCAAACTGGAAAGGCCCACACTCTTACAGAATACCAACATCAAATAGTAGCTTAATGCTTTCGGAACAAATTTCGGATGGTGAGTGTAGAGAACCAGATACCTTTTTTACTGTGAGCGTTATTTGGATTCTTAATCGGGGCTATAAATATTGTGGATCATAGCAACTATTTACTATCTAGTCTATAAGGTTGACTGTATGATCTTTTGCCACCATAATTATTTCTCGAAAAAACTATACAACGAGTTAGGCTTTGCTGCGAGTATTATGACAGTAGCACGAAAGGGTCTGCTTGACTGGAGAATGACCACGCAAATATTATTTGGCCTGCACTTCGCGTAGTGTATATATTTTTTGCCTGCACAGAATACCAAATTGAAATGGAAGTATAATATTGGTATTTGCTGTGATGAGAATCGTGTTTTGTTCACTTTTTAAACGAGGAGGTACTCAATTCAACTGTATGTTTTTTATGTGTAATCTCAAAACTTTTTCTAGAGGAACCGTTTTTTATGATTCTATTATGATATTCATGATACTATTTTCATTTGAAAACTGGTGCTTCTGGTATGGTCCCATATAAATTTGATCAAGATCTGACCAGAAGGTTTTGAGTTATCCTTTATAAGGCACTTTATTTGTATTGAAGTCGGTTGTAAAAAAATTTTAAATTTACCACATGTTAGTTAGGGCGACAAATGAGTACATGGTCCAACGATACCTTACGATGATAAGTGTACGCCGTGGGCCATAGACACCTACTCCATCCTCTATTAAAATAATATAGATAAGATAGAATGCCCCGTAATCAGAAAGGTTATACGGTTCTCTACACTCACCATACGAAGTACAGCATTATTAAACTGCTATATAACTTTTTCATTCTGTATTTTTATTCTTAATGATGATTAATGTAGATTCACATCAGGAGAACTGTGTGATTGTTTTTGTCGCTTTTACTGCTCTTACAATAAAGTTGAATAAAACGATGTTTTATGGATGTCATCGTTTTTCAATTAATTTTTAATTCCCTACGTTTTGAGCAGGTTAAAATATCCATGAATACAAGTTAACAGGTTTTAAATGGCAGCTCAAAGCAGTTAATGAATTGTATCTGGGTGAATCACAGATTACGTGTGAATGTATACATAGTGTCCTGTGGTATTAATGCAAAGGTTACGTATTTTTATACATCAGTTTGAAATAAATAATATGAGAATATTGTTTTTTTTAAAGAATATTAACAACGCTATAAACATTACTAATATTCCCCTTAACCACTAGTGGTAAGCTTAAATTGCTTGTGTTACGAGTGGTTCACGCCAGTAGTCGAATGGCGGATTCGAACCCACGAACTTTTTGAGTTCGCGGTTCGCGCCCTGTCATTAGGCTACTGTCGTTTATTTCTGCGATTATTGTCATCATCATCATAATCATTACAGCTCTACACAAGTCCTCTGCTGAATATAGGCATCCACCAAGTAATAATATAGTAAATAAATAAATAATGCCACAAAGCACGGTCCTGAGCAACCTGCATCCATCGAATTCCTGCATGTCTTACCAGGTTGTCACTACATCTAGTGGGGGGTCACCCTACACTATGCCTGCCGGTACGAGGCTGCCACTCGAGAACCTTTCTTCCCCATCGGTTATCGGTTCTTCGAGCTATATGGCCGGCCCATTGCCACTTCAGCTTACTAATCCGTTGGGCTATGTCAGTCACTCTGGTTTTACTGCGGATATGCCTCTCCATAGCTCGCTGAGCGACCATGAGCGTCCTCATATGGCCAGCAGTGAAGGACCACGTCTCAGATCCGTAAGTCATCACTGGCAACACGCACTGTTGTACAATCTAGGATCTGAGATTATTGGCTCTTGGTAAAATAACATTGTTTTGAAAAATAAAATACCAAAAGTTGTTCAAAAAAGTAAATTCTAATTTTTTTTATGTACCTTAAATTCAAATATATAATATAGGTTAGGGTGCTGTTTTAACTATATCTACAATACATACATGTATTAGAAGACTGCTCTCCCATAACAATTTTAACCCTTTCGCTGTCTCATAAATTATATATGAACTTTTCGATAGTTTAACTATAGTATCTATAACACGGATAGGAACCTTTTAAGATGCATAAACTGTTTCTAGCTATAGTTCTCTACCACGTAGGAAAATATATGCCCTCTTCTGCTTACTAATAATAAATTTCAAAGCTTTCTAACTCACACTTATTAATCCTGAATTAGTCTATGTTGCTACTTAATTTATTCGAGTTATACATGTGAGTTTCATATAAAAAGTATAGCTTCTTTTAAACTAAAGCAAGATTTCAGATTTGAAGCACTAATTATACTCGTACGTCGATTTGCTTCTAAAGTTAAATGGACCAAAGTTTTGCTTCCTCGTGTAGTAACTGTGTAATTAAAACAGAACAATATGTTTTTAAAGTCTATTTCTATGTAAAATAATTAATTTGTATTTCCTTGAAAACCATGTCGAGGAGATGTTCTAGTGAGTTATTAAGTGATGCATGTAACTAAGCTAGGTCAAAAGCTTTAGTGGCGTCTTCAAGAACCCTCATTGTATTGTAGACTTAATTCCAACAAAACTTGCAAATGCGTCCACTGTCCTTATTATATGATCAATAAAGAAAATTATATAAATTATACTTGTATATTGTTAAATTCTCAGTCTACTTGGCAGGTAGATACTTCGGTTTGAAAACGAAATTCTGTGTTCGATTCCGCAGCTTTTTAAAAAAGTATTGGTAACAAACGAGTAAACAGTCCACGTGATGGTAATTGGATGCTGTGGCCTATAGCAATGTGTGGCACTTCTACATCTATCATCGATTAAGAATCAAAATGCAGATGCGTTGTCACCCATGAGGATTCCATCTTAGGAACGCCTCGTTTCGAGTAAAAAGGGTCTCCATTTCTGTATAATCACCATACAAAAAAGCAGTATTAAACTGCTAGTTTAGGCTACTATTCTGTGAGAGCATGTTACTTACCAAGTCGAGCCTACCCATTCGTGCTACAACCATAATATAGCTACAGCATTGTCATACCACGTAAAGCTAAAAGGTATTTTAATTGAGCCAACTCTGGTTCTGTTCTGTTTGTCAGTGCCCAATTATAAAAATGAAATATATTTAATCGAAAATATTAAAAAAAAATAAGTGTGAAGTTCACCAACAGAGGCGGATTTCACGTCTTCGAATTTTTGTTTGGCAAGACGTTTGGCAAGACTTATGGATTACACGACAGCGCGCTGGACACTTCCTTTCCTATCCTGTGCCCAGCAATGTGACATGGTATTGTAAATATCTTATTAGTTAATTAAAAAATACTCGATAGAACTCTTTTTTGGCTAGGAATTTTTCCTTCTGTCCATTTTCTCCCACTAGTCACTAACTATCACGTGGACTGTAAGCTCGTTTGTTTTAATTTTATGAAGAAAAAATAATTAAAAAATAACTAGTAAAAATAAGAATATAAATGAAAGCATAATTAGAAAAGACCTAATGTGCTAATTTGCATACACCACGAGCTGGCCCAATAATTTAAATCCAGAACATAAAACAAACATTTAAGTTTCCGTAGCTAAGTGTCGCAAAAATTGTTGCCTCGTCTACAACAAACTTTTTAAAACAGTTCTCAACTGCGCTCGAAAAATTTCAGTTCCAAAAGCGTATCATGCAACGAGATGGGAACAAGAGCCCTCGGGAAACTGTTGCTCAGTGCACTTAATATTTTTAACTCAGTCGAGTTAAGCTGGAGTTTGTACGTTGTACTTTTCAGCGTTTAATTTCTTTGAGATTGAAATACGTTATGGTTTCCTCTGTTTCTGATTTACAGCACTGCTGTTATAGTAGCGGTGTAAAAATATCCACTGACCCATATCGTCCCATGGGTTTTAAGAGGTTTCAGAGAAAATGAAACCAGAAGATTGGTATTATCATCTTTCTGATACCTAACAATAGCAATTAATAACAAAACTGTGGTTGCCAACCGGTCTTCAAGCATGGCAACTATGGCAAAATCCCCTCTATAAGGCAATCTATAAGGATACCTATGTTTAGCAGTGGATTGAAAGCACATACATAAATTCTGAATGATTAATCTCACACCGTTTCTGCTTATGTGTTTTTTTGGCACTGTTGTATGTCTGTGTTTGTTCCATGTATAATTATATTATCTTGATCACTACATGGTTACTACAATTTAATTAAAATTTAATTGATTTAAAAATATTATATGGAATGTTCAAATATTATTGAACATTTTTATGAGAGTAAACTAGACAAATCTATTACCTATCGATGAGAATCTTGATGTTGTATTTAGCTTGGGTGTTTAGCAGGGATAGTAGACACGGCTAGGATATAAAACGATAATTAATAAGGCTATTCAATCTACGAATAAGGGAAGCCAGAATATGTCGAAAAGGCAAGTATTTGACGGCTTTGTGGTGCTGTGCGTTAGCATTGAGTTATTGCGCTGGGGGCTGCGGGTTCGATTCTCGCGCAGAACATTTATTTTTTTGATCTATAAATAATTGTTCCGGGCCTGAATGTCTTTCTTTGCGAAATAATTGTTTATAATCTGCCACGATATAAGAGAAAATCCTATATGTGTAAAAAGGCAAGTATGAAAGGCGATTCACAATGCCGTAGTTCCTACCTTAAATGTATGGTAATGAGAGTTGGGTATGTCGGAAGAAACATGGGAATAAATTTAATGCTGTAGAGAAATTATGTGATCAGATAAAAGTGTAGTTTGCAAAAAGATGTACCGACCAGGATTAGTGCAAAATACTTCTACGGTTTGGACACGTTGAAAGAATGAATGAGTAAAGAGTGGAGAAGTAAGTGGCAGAATTAGCAAGGGACAACAGGAGACGGAAGTTTGTTGACCAAATAGACGATATATTGAGTATGAGCAAATAAAGAGTACTAATTCTTAGTCGATTGTTGGCATATAGATATATAGATGTAAAGAGATCGAGAGAGAATAAAAAACTTGAAAACGAGTATGTATGACCAGTATGTATTGGCTTAGAGACGAACCTTACCTTACTGTTAGCTCTATGAGGAAGTTTAAATTTAATCAGTGAGCTATGAAAAGAGTGGCTTAGTTTCTATTCATTATATATTTTGTGATAAAGATATTTCCAAGTAGAACAGAAACTGACATAGCCAACGGATCAATAATCTGGAGTGGCAATGTGCCTGCTATAGATGGGCATAGTTTAATACTTAGAACCGATAGGAAAGAAAGGCAGCCTTGTACAAGTAATGGCACCGTATGGCGATGTTCCACCAGAGAGAGAGAGAATTGTATACGGTATATATAACGGTAACGGTACAACCTAGTTACAAGTGGTTTAGGATTGTATTTTTTTGCATTGCAGAGGCCTATATTCAGCAATGGATACGAGCAAGGTTTGTAATAATGATGATCATAGTTACTGAAATATAAATTGTCTTCATATTTACCTTGATAAAAGCAGAAGCAAGATCTTGAGGTCCAGCTGCAGCTGCCGGCCTTAGAGTCAATGCGTAATTACCAGCTTGACCAAAAAGTTCGCAGCGAAGCGTCATGGTGCGACGACCAGGGAAGCCGTGCATCTAAATACATAGAGACATGTAAGTTAATTTTCTCCCATATTCGAATGGTACTGTTAGTCGTGAAAATCGGCAAACAGCGTGCGATGATCCAAAAATTATGAAAAAAAAAGCTACGAGGTAAGACAGATAAAGAGAGTATAATTTTTATCTGGCCGTGTTTTCCTAAATACTTTAAGACGTAAAGGAATATTAGAAGAAATTTAAAATTTTAATTATATAACCATTACCTGTTCAGAATATAGTACATGGGCGTGGGAGCTAGTATTCTTGCCATCGCATAAGACAGCACCTCCGCTTGAATGTCCGCAGTACAGTAACTCCAGCCAGAAATCGGCACTCGACTCTAGAGGAGTGCACACCACCTTCGGAAATTCCAATATTGCTGTCACTTGCCTTTCTGGATACGTTTGAATTTGTTCAGGCGTCACGTCCAAATTTGCAGTTGGCCAAAGAACGTCAAACTTCCAAGATTTGATCAAACTATCGCCTGTCTCCATCATTCTTTCATCAATTTCTCTTTTTACTTTATTGGATTCTACTTCTTTAAATCTATCAGTATTGTTTGAGTCATAATCTTCGGATAAGAAATGTTCTTTGTCGGCGATTATTTCTAAATAGTAAATGCCACCTCTTGAGAAGTATCCACATGGAAGAGTCATTCGGCTTTCTGCATCTAAAGCTAAGGGCATCGTTGCTAATAACGCTCTACCATCGTCGTCTTCTCGGGCGAGGCGTACTTTTAAGCTGCCAGCACCGAGAGCTCCTCGTACGTTGACATGTACATCGCCTCCCAAGGCTACAAGTGTACTCGGTATATCGACCCATACTTGGCTGAGATCAACTCGATCGTCGTTCGCGTAAGGGTTGACGAAGTTAGCGCCGCCTGCAAAACAATTAAAAGCTTTAGAACTTTTTTGTTCTGCCGCATTTATCAGCTTTGTGAATGGGTAACTATACTAACAACTATAATTTTACTTATTTTGGGACTTAAACGTCGTTTATTATTTTCTTAGTACAGTTTTCACGTTTTAATAAAGTCTTTTTATACTTGAGATAGCTTAATTAAATTTTCCCTCGTTTAGATTTAAAAACATCTACCAAATGTTTATTAAAATTATACACATTAAACTGCTTTTTTCGACAATCCTTAAACAAATATGATGTCGTCATTTGAGGACTAGCATTAAGTGCCACATAACCTCCCTTACCCTTCAAACCGTAAAACAACACTAAGTACACTGCCGCTTGGCGGCATAAACAGGAAAGTGGTCATGATACCAACCCAGGCAAATTGTACCCAGAAAAGAAACCCCCTGACTTAGTAAATTGGCCTTAGACTCATGATTAATGTGAAAATATTATGATGATCCTGAATAGTACGCAACTTATACTTGGCTGTTTCAGTGGTGGTCTAAGTTACTAATGACTTTGAAAAAAAAAAAAAGAAAAACAGCTATCTCAGTGTTTCTCATCAGTTCTTTTTTCTCGGAGTCCCACTTTTTGAACTTGTGGTAGACTTTGTCGCTCAAATAGGAGTATAAAATATGCACAAATTGGATTTTTTTACATGACTCAGGTAAAAGAGTAACCGCACGAGTCCAAAAAAAATATAAGAGTATATATTTGTTCTACAAATGTTTAAATGAAAAATACTGTACTCATCTTTGCAAAATAATAACGTTTACGTGGGATTAAGCTTAATTTAAGGCAGTGTAATCTTACATGGCAATACAAGATAGAGAAATAAATATTTTTACTTAGTGTAATTACATATTTTTACTATTGTTAGGATTGTGTTTTGCAGATAAGTCTTTTTTGTTGTTTTTGTGATTTATGACAATATACTAATTGAAAGTTGAAAATTTAAAAAACTTGAAAAATCTTTATTGCAACAAAAACGAATTTATACAAATCAATGTGATCCTAGCTCCTGTAAAAGGTTAACCTGAGTAACAGAAGCTAGTTACGTGCGTGCGTGAGTGCTTGCGTGTGTGCGTGCGTTCTTGCGTGCGAGCGTGCGAGCGTGCGTGCGAGAGTGCGTGCGTACGTGCGTGCGTGCGTGCGTGCGCGCGTGCGTGTTGTGATGTGATGTGACGTGATGTGTGATGTGTATATTACTATGTATTTTGCTGTGAAGATTTTATATTTTGAAATTTGTATGATTGCCTGCATTATATTGATTTATACGTATGATAACAAATAATATGAGAATAATAAAAAATTACAATTACATTTACATATTAGAGGTTTAATAGACATTCAGTAGCGTCATAGTCATAAGCTTGAAGCCAATTAATAATTTTATTTTTGATTTGATGGCTGTTGTAGCTTTTAGTAATACAAATTTTATTAAATTTATTGTACTCACATAGTGCTGGCGCAAGGTAAAAAAATTGTCATTTGGCAAAAGCACTATGTGTTCTAGGGACTACTAGATACTTAATCTATCTACTTTATTTTTTCTATTATGTTTTATACTGTCAAGTTGAGTGCGCAGAGTACCTATGGAATCGCCTAATACATTTAATATAAATAATTTTATCACACTAAGTACCTGTGTTTTTACTAATGTAATATGTTATATTCTCATCTCCTTTTAAATTTAACCAAGAAGAAGGCGAATATCCAGTTCAATATTTGTGTAATATTTCAGAAATATGTTTTTTTTTCTAACTTTACTTAAATAATATAAAAAAACATATTTCTGAAAATGAAAACTGTAAGTACCGTTTTTATAACTTAAAAACAAATTTCTCACTTAAAGATACTTTCATAGTCCATTTAGCAACACCATTAAAAATTGAACCTTCGTTTTTCTAGTCTGCTACCTTTATTTACTAAGCCATTGAGCATCTAAAGTGACAGGACAATTTAGGAAACATGTCGCTTCTGCGCCATTTCCTACGGCAATCAGTTTATGTCAACACAATCTAGCGGCGCTATGATGTAACATCGAAGAGGCAGCGTAATTACTCGTAAAGGGGGATACGACTAGTCTTACCACTGACCTCTTTAAATACATTGTATATATCGGGTGTCCGGTAATGAGTGGATAACCTTGAAATGTCTTATAGTACAACTTATGGCCGTTCTAAAATAAAATACAAAGCATAGTATATCACATACAAGTAGTACCTTTGATATATATTTTTTAAAGAAAAGTCGATTTTAGTCGATCTTATTTTACTGTCTTGAACACTATGACCAAAAATGAATGATTTCTATTGGTTTTTTGTTGTTTTATTATTATACACTAACTGTGCTGATAGATAAAAAGTAAACAGTATAAATAGCTTTTGCAGTTTTTATTTAAAACATTCGCAAATTAATTTATTTCTGAAAAACATGCAAATAATATTATTTAAGCGAAGTTCAAACCTCTTGGGTATGAAAAAAAATTATGAATGTATGGGTAATCAATAATTTTACAATAATGTCGGTCTCATGTAGATTTTATAATGGTATAATTCATAAATGTATCTTCCATAAATAGTGACTTATTGCCATTAATGTAGAAAAGGAGAAAATTTGACTAAGTAACAAAATGATTTCTTAAATTTACGCGAACACTACACATTGAATAAAACTAAATTTACGGATTTTATCGCGTTTATTTCACTACTTTTACTTATTTTTAATTCCCGACGTTTCGGGTGCTTTACAGCAACCATGGTCACGGGGGGGACTGAGATGTTTGACGTCCCAATGTCATAGTTAGTCCGGCTACCTTCAGTTTTTGAATATTAATTTTTGGTCCGATTTACGCAAAACGAGCTTATAGTATCATGAAGTCTTGCAGTGGTATCCTTAGGTTTGGGTTTAATTTTGTTAATTATAGGATCCCAAGCAGGTGGCAGCACCCATCCATCTTCTCTATTGAAATTTGGATGTTTTTTAATTTCAATAACCTCGCGTATCATCCTTGGTAGGAATCGGTGTTCTTTTGCGAGAATTTGTGGTTTATCAAAACGAATGTAATGGTGGGGACGATCTTGAACATGTTCGCAGACTGCAGACTTCCCGGAGCGTCGGTGCTTCACGTCAGCTATATGTTCTTTCACGCGGGTTTTATGGATCTTTTTTGTTTGACCTATGTAAGAGAGACCACATTCACAATCTAACTTGTACATTTGACGGATGGTAAAAGTTGACTAATCTTCTTCGGCGGCTTGTAGTATGTTTTAATAGAAGCTCGCTTCAAGATGTAGCCAACCTTGTCTGTGACTCCTCTGACATATGGTAGTACAGCAGGTACACGCTCGACTGTGGCCGGCTTCACTCGGTCACTGTGACGTAGGCGCGGGACCCGAAGCTTGTTGTCTTGCAATACTTGCTTGACGTGCTGAAGTTCGGCGGCCAGATGTTTTCTGTCACAGATCCCTCGTGCTCTCTGAAATAAAGATTTACCCACGGTAGCTAACTGTGAAGGATGATGGTGAGATTCACCATTTAAATATCGGTTGGTATGGGTCTTTTTTCTATACACAGTGTGACCAATTGTGTTATTAGGATTTCGAATGACTAAAACATCTAAGAAAGCTAAAGAATTATTTGCCTCTAACTCCATTGTGAATTGTATTTTAGAGTTTATAGAGTTAAGGTGGTTTAAAATGCAGTTACTTTGTCAGATGGTAAAATTGTGAAAGTGTCGTCTACGTACCGCTTGTAGAATCTTGGATTTACAGGAGCAGTAAGAAGGGCTTTCTCTTCGAAGTCCTCCATGAATATGTCAGCGACTATGGGAGATACAGGTGAGCCCATCGCCACACCATCTACTTGCTTGTAGAACTCTTCCTTCCACAATAGATAGCCAGATGTGAGGCAGTGTTTGAGTAATACTGCATATTCAGCAGGCATGTTATTATATTCTAGCTTCCTAGTTACAATTGATATGCAGTCTTCAATAGGTAGGCATGTGAATAGTGACTGAACATCAAAACTGACCATAGTTTCATTGTCAGCGAGATGTAGGTCTTCTATCTCACTAACAAAATGGTATGAATCCTTTGTGTGTGCTCTGGTATGTCCTCTCAGTGGTGACAGTACTTTTGCCAAGTGTTGTGCCAGCTTATAAGTTGGTGAATCGATCTGGCTCACTATCGGACGTAGTGGAGCGTTTGGTTTGTGTATCTTTGGTAACCCATACAACCTCGGTGGTTTGGTACATGATGGTATTAGTGAATTCACGTCGAGATTTAATTTTTCGGAGTGTTTCTTTATTAAATCGCTAGTTGCTTTAAGCGTGTTAGTTGTGGGGTCTGTTTTGACCTTTTTGTATGTACTTTCGTCCGATAAACACTGATTTAAATAATTGCAAACGGAGACAAAATAAATACATGCGAAGTCGAGCAAGTCGAGTGACGCACTAAGTTTTTCTGTGCACTAAGTTCTCTTTTACATTTAGCTCTTCTCTCTCCCACTTACCCAATTGAGACCCATCTTTGTCTAATACAACACAAAAGACAACAGGTAGTAAATATGAAGGTCACACGACCCATCACATTCACGCTAGTAAAGTAACCATTTCAACATTTAAATTGGTTATTTTATTACATTTAAATAAGTTAATTTCTAATACTTAATTTGGATTCAATTTGTTTAAAAACAGCTGTTTTCATGTATGATCAACTCCTGATGTGTTTTTATCAATTCCCAATGATCAGAGACAATTCAATTTAAAAAATGTTCCCATATTATAAATTTTGTTACTTAGTCAAATTTTCTCCTTTTCTACATTAATGGCAATAAGTCACTATTTATGGAAGATACATTTACGAATTATACCACTATAAAATCTACACGAAACCGAAATTATTATAAAATTATTGGTCACCCATACATTCATACATTTTTTTCATACCCAAGAGGTTTGAACTTCGCTTAAATAATATTTTTTGCATGTTTTTCAAAAATAAATAGATTTGCGATTTTTTTTAAATTAAAACTGCAAAAGCTAAATATACTATTTTACCTTTTATCTATCAGCACAGATAGTGTATAATAATAAAACAACAAAAACCAATAGAAATCATTCGTTTTTGATCATAGTGTTAAAGACAGTAAAATAAGATCGACAAAAAATCGACTTTTCTTTAAATAAAATCTTGTGATATATTATGTTTCGTATATTTTTCAGAACGGCCGTAAGTAGTACTATAAGACATTTCAAGGTTATCCATTCATTACCGGACACTATAGAGGTCAGTGAGTCTTACCGATGAAGGGTTAGTAATTGTAAATTATACAAAGGATTAATTAAAAGAAAAATTTGTTTAATTTAACGGCGTCTTATTTTAATTAAGAGAATAGCTTCATATTTGTTTTAGTCTAATTTCGGTTAAATGATTTGTATGTTTATGGACATATGCTGGATGACCTTTTTTACCGTCTGGAAAAAATAGTGTGTAGCATGTGAACGAAGTAAAAGCCAATGGCACTGATATTTTACAAAAAATAAAAACAAAAATTTTTAATTAAACGTTTGAAAACTTTTTAACAATTACTTTGCCCCTTACCCATGCCAACTAAATTTATTGTTTTATTGCCATTCGTAAAGTAGGGTGGATATGATTTGAATTTCGATAGCTTTTTAATAATTTATTTATTTAATACAAAAATTTTGTTTTTATTTTTTCTAAAATATCAAAGCCATAGGCTTCTATTCCGTTCACATGTTACATCCTATTTTTTTTTCTAGACGTTATAAAAAATCATACAGTATAAGGCAACTTTAAAATTTTAATGTTCTTCAAAAATATCGATCTTTACTTAAAATATTTTTGCTTTTGACTTTGATCGTCTTGTGCTGTCGCTAGGTATCACTTTAGGTCAAAGTGACTGTGAGACCGCAGAACTTAACGGCATCTTTAAAATGAGCAGCATTTGAGTATTAGTAATGGAGATGCAGCTCTCTAGCACATATTTGGTGATCAATCCTAAATATTATATTAGATTTTCTTTCTTTTAAGCCAGCGACAAAAATCCATTACTGGGTAATAATGTAGGGAGGATTTTTCTTAATCTCCGCGATTGGTAAACATATTAGCGATCGCAGATCTAGACGTTCCGTACCTTTGATGTTGCCGCCCTCCGCTGGTCTGGGCATTTAACGTCTGATGTTTACAAAATAGTTATACAATAAATGACAGAAACTATTAGATCTCTCTGCACATCCCATATTCGCCTTTGATGGTTTAAAATTGAGTTATGGGTTTATTTAAGCCACCTTAATTTATTGAATATGATTTCTAATATGTTAGCTACCCACACTGTAGGATCTTTCATGTGTCGCAGAACATTATACATACATAAATTACAAATAGACGTACACAGACTGGAAACGGTTACTTGAAGACTATAGTACGTGAGGATAATATGGTCATACGGTTAATATGGTCACTTTCTTAAATGCCAATTAATTAAACAAAACAAAGCTTGTTTAGTTATTTTTTTCTTAATAATATATTAGTTATATTATATGAATTTGTGTTTTTGTCTTCATCGTCCCCCTAGTTATGGATTTATAGGGCGGCAAAGCTTAAGGTGATAACCTCGAAAATTTGGTGGTTTTTCCATTTAACATATTTTTTAAGTTTTATAGATTACAAACCAACATTTTGGTATATGAGTTTTGACTATATAACCTTGGATTGCATAAAAGAAAAACACGATATCATGTAATTTTCTCGATAGAAAAAAAATTGCAAAATAGGCTCTAATTATTTACATTTCTCGTTGACACTACAATATTCTTAGGAATAATTTCATGGATTTCTTTTTAAGGCATAGTAAATAATCTAAGTTCTCTTAAACCAGTTTTTTTTAATCCATAACGAAGTTTTGTTAAAATAAAT